AAATGTCTGAAGATCTAATATCATTTAAGAGAAAATCTCAGACTGCACATTGAGTGCTCTGATTTGGGCTTCTTTTCCAGAAGGAAAGACCAGGATGGAGATGGGTAGGATGCTCAGTAGGCCTGGAGGAATGTGGGTACAGAGGTCACCTTGGCCAGCCCACACGCACTATGCTAGGCTTCTTGTCCAGGAGCAAGTTACTGAACTCCTTAGAACTCGCTGTATGCTCTGTGAAAATTAGGCTAATATTTACTTGGACAGATTGAGATAACATGAAATCCAGTAAATTGGTCAGATTTATTAATGATTACTTATATTTTACTTTCTGTTTTTTAAATTTTTTTACTTTTTCCCATTATGTTGTTTTTGTTTTGTCTTTTACCTTTTTTTTCTCAAAATAATTATCGATTCATAGGAATTGCACAGAAATATACAGTAATGTCCAGTGTTCCCATCCCCCAGCCTCCTTCAGTTTGAGGTAACATCCAACACAACTATAGTACAAAATCAGCCCTACGAGATTGACATTGATGCAATCCATAGAGCTTATTGATTCCATGAGTTAAAAATACATTCATTTTGTGTGTGTGTGTGTGTGTGTGTGTATGTGTGTAATTCTGTGCAGTCTCATTACACGTATGGCATCGTGGAACCACTACCACATGGAGGTGCTCACCTGTACCACCCCTGCCAGGTTCCTTTGTGCTCTCCCTTTATCACCACACCCATCCCCTCCCTCCCATCCCTAAACTGGGGCAACCACTAATCTCGTCTCCATCTCTATCACTTTGTCACTTCAAGAACATTTTTTTAGACGGACTTACACAATATGTGACCTTTTGGGATTGATTGACTTTTAAAACTCAGTATAATTCCCAGATTCATCCAAGTTGTTTCACAATCAATAGTTCATTATTTTTTTTATTGCTGAGTAGTGTTCCATGGCCAGTATGGACAGTTTGTTTATCCACTCACCTCTTTTTTTTTTTTTAAAGATTTTATTTATTTATTTGACAGAGCGAGAGAGATAGCAAGAGAGGGAAAACAAGCAGGGGGAGTGGGAGAGAGAGAAGCAGACTCCCCACTGAGCAGGGAGCGCAATGCAGGACTTGATCCCAGGACCCTGAGATCATGACCGACCCAAAGGCAGAAGCTTAACGATTGAGCCACCAAGGCGCCCAATCTACTCACCTCTTGAAAGGCATCTGAGTTGGAGCTATTCTGAATAGAGCTGCTGTAGACATTATTGTACAAGTTCCTGCATGAAAAGAAGTTCATTTCTCTGGAATACATGCCCGAGAATGCAGCTGATAGGCTGTAGCCTAAGTCCATTCATTGTATTTTTCAGTTCTTTTCTATTTCTTGGCAAGTGATTCGGGTTATCTGTTTATGGTACTGATAATATGAGTAATCTTTAAAGACAGGCACACTGAGTCATTGTGCAGCCTATGGCAACAGTTGTGTGGATATGTGTGGTATAGAAAAAGGTGGACCTCTGATTACTTCAGGTCGCAAGCAGGTGCTAAGTGGAGGTGAAACTTTACTCAGCTGTGTGGGAAATGTTCATTCTTACTAGTAATCAAGAACAAGGAATGCTTCTAGCAGGGAGTAACTACATTAATAGCAACAGTACCAGCAGTAAGTGAGGTTTGCAACTAAAGGAATTTCTGAGAAAATGAACGAAATTGTCACAAGAAGTAGGTAATAATTACTTAAGAAGAAATGAAGAAAATTATATATTGTTCCAGATGTTGTTTATATCCTCCTTCTCTCTTGTTTCTTCTTTGTAAATTCTTTTAACTTTATAAGGAGCAGACAGTTTCTGTCTTATATACACGATTTCGAAATATGAGGAAGATGAAAAGCCACTGTCTGTGGAGGAAGCACCACCCTGAAATAGCACAGAAAAGACAATGCTGGTTTTACTAATGAACAGGAATACTTTTTAGGTGAAATGATATATCAAAACAGAAGTCTGTTGCTGTCCTGGCCATCCTGTTGGGCTTCCTCCACTCAGCGTAGGTTTTTTCTTTTTTAAATTTAATTTTATTTTTTAATGTACTCCCTTGTGGGGCTCGAACTTATGACCCCGAGACCAGGAGTCATATGCTCTTTTTACTGAGCCAGCCAGGCACCCCTCACTCAGCATAGTTATTTGGAGTTTCATCCACATGGTTGCATATATCCATAGCTGGCTCCTTTTTCTTGCTGTGTGGTAGTCTGTTCTAAGGACAAATTATGGTTTACTTATCCATTCACCTGTTGATAGACATTTGTGTTATCTCAGTGGCTATTTTGAATAAAACTTTTGTGGGGTTTTTTTGGCTTTGTTTTTTAATTTTTATTTGTTTATTTATTTGAAAGCATGAGCACAAGTGGGGGGGTGGGGCACAGGGAGAGGGAAAGAGAGAACCCCAAACAGACTCCACGCTGAGCACAGAGCCTGATGTGGGGCTCAATCCCATGACCTCAGGTCAGGACCTGAGCCAAAACTGAGTCAGATGCCCACTGACTGAACCACCCAGGTTCTCCCCCAGGAATGTTTTTGATCAAGTCTTTGTGTGGACATATGCTTTCCTTGCTCTGAGGACATAAGATTACAAGCAGCTTGAATACCTTACAATGGCCAGATTTATGCAGGTTCTGGAGGGTGAGTGACTAGATTGTGCAAGGGACATAGGAATGGCCAATGTGGCCAGAGCAGAGGATCCAAGCATGAGCTTTCCATCTGGCGTTTGATGGTTGTGCATTTGATTTCAGGCTATTTTCTTTCTTGTGGCTTCTCCATTTTCTCTTAGATTGAAGTTCCGAATTCTTCCTGGCCTCTTTGGATCTTTCACATTGTGCCCAGCCTTCCTTTTCAGGCCCATTACTATGCCCAGTCCCTGCTCTTTCCCTTAATGAGAATAAGAAGATGGTGATGACAGCTTAGTTATATTGTGGACCCGGAACTCATGTGTGCAGTCTATATGCATTACTGTGTGTAATCCTTCCAGGAGCCCCACAAAGGAGGTACCACTTTTATGCCCTCTGTGCAGGGAAGAAACCACAGCTCAGAGAGTTAAGTGACTTGTCCAGGATTGCACAGTTAGTAAGTGGTAGGTTGGATATTGGACTAAATCATCTGACTTCAGAGCCAGTACCTTTAACCACAGTGTTGTATACCCTTCATCATTGGAAGGGCAGATAGTGCATGGAATTTAAGATACCATTTTAAACTGTTCTTCCACATCATCTAGTTAATTCCTATATTCCTAACTTAGTGTTTTGTCCCAGTGGCCCCTTCCCTGGCAGCCCTTACTGGGTCAGATCACCCTGCATGCATCCTCCCTCAGAGCTCTGTGTCTGCCCTACTGAGCTGGGAGCACAGCAAGGATGCAGATGCCTTCCTTTGCTTCCCTTAGTGCCTGCTGCCCAAAGAGTGCTAGCTAGCATTGAGTAAACCAGGTGAATGAGTGAATGAATTACACGGTCAGATATCCATGTTTGTCATCAACTTTGTTGAGGTATTATTTACACATACAAATGTGTAACCACAATCCAGGTAAAATTATCTTGATTACTCTAAAAGTTTCCTGTGCCCCTTGCAGTCTCCCTCTGTCCGCAGCTACCACTATTCTGTTTGTCTGTCCCTATGGTTTTCTCTTCTAGAATTTTAGATAAACTGAATCATACAGTACATAGTCTTCTATGTCTGTCTTGTTTAGCAGAATGCTTTTGGGATGCATCCATATTATGCATATGTCAGCATTCCAGGTATATATTTAAAACTGCCTTAAATAGTTATTTTGGAAATAGTTTAGAAATACTTAGCCTCACTCAGGTTTAGACTTGGTTCATAGAGCAGCGGTTTCCAAGGGTGCTCCCTAAGATCTTTTCAGAGTGTGTACAAGGTCAAAATGATTTTCATAATAACCCAAAGATATTATTTGCCTTTTCTCCTCATTCTCTCAGAGTTTTCCAGATGCCACCTGACATGTGGTATTGCAACAGTTTGGTAGCACAAAGATGGTAATCCATCTGTGTTCTGTTAAGCTGTCTGGCTTAAAGAAATTTGTAAAAATGTTAATGCCTCTCTTCTCACTAAAAGTTTTTGTATTGGAAAATATAGTCACTTTTTAAATAACAATTGTTAATTATATTAACATTTAATGGCTTTCTTGTTATTATTAGATACATGACTAAATATTTTTAAGTTTTGTTTTAATTTCTTACATGACAAATCGTCGTAAATATAAACCATGTTAACAGAAGCTCTTTGGGGTCTTCCATTTTCTAGTTGTAGAAAAACCCTTAGTCCAAGAAGTTTAGAATCTTCTGGACTAGGAATATTTTTGGAAAGGCATCAGGAATAGGATGAGAAAGTCTTTTTCCTGGGTGGGTTTAGGAGAGGGTTTGGAGACTTGGCCTGCATTGCCTGGAGAAGGGGCCTCCCTCAGGTGGTGCCAGATGGAATGTGGGCTGGAATGCAGGGACAGGCAGTGTCAGCTAGTCTCATTGTCAGCCCCCTGCTCAGACCTGGTTGGGCAGGTTCTTTTGATGTTTCAGCCTCCCACAAGGAACCCGCGGGGCAGCCCATGCCTGCAGCTGGCTTGCAGGACAGTGATCATGAGGCCTAGAGCCAGCCACTTTCCCAAGATGAAGCTGCTGTTACTCTCTGATTTCAGGTTTGGCACTTGCTGAGGAACTGATTGAGGTCTATGCTGTGTTCTGATCGCAGGGCGAGCATAGAATATCATCAGGATGGTCCACTAGCTTTCAGGAGAAGCTGTGTACTCTCCCTCTGTGCCCGCAATAGAGTTCTAAGCTCAGATTGAAAGACTGTCTAAAATAATTATTTTAACAGAAGCAAGTGGGAGGCTAGTCTTATTACTGGCCCAATTATTGTGGGGAAAGGGACATGTGGATTTTGGTTACCAATTTTGATAATGCTATTATTAATAAATGGGAGCAAAATTGTACCTCCAGTCTTTGACCTGTTAATTGATCTTCTCTTGCAGGCGAAAGGGCCTATGGTTCCGACTGAGGAAGATACTTCTCTGTATTCTGGGGTTGTATGTTGCCATTCCATTTCTCATCAAACTATGTCCTGGGATACAGGCCAAACTGATTTTCTTGAATTTTGGTAAGTACCAAAGTACCAAAGTACTTTGCCTTGAATTTAGTAAGAGTTCGTTTGCATGATGATTTACGTGTTTTTATATCTACCACCCAGATCAAGAAGTAGAGCATTTCTCTTACCCAGGAAGTTCCCTGTTCCATTCCCAGTTACAGGCTGCTGCAGGGATTGTATTGCCCTCTGGGGCTAACAGTTGTGTGCACAGGTAATGCCTGATTGGGTGGGGGTCCTCCTTTAGTGGCAGTGGGTGAGGATGTTAACAGTGTTGTGTTGGAGGACCTCTGCCCTTGTGCCATCTAGGAGGCTCCTGTCCTTGGAAAAGATGACCGCTGAAAGGTGGTCTTAAACAAAAATAATTAGGACTTTTTTCTTAAAAAAAAAAAAAATTAAATCCAACATGCTTTGGTTTCTATGGAATTATATACTGGCTCTATAGGTGTTGTAGTCTCCCTGAGTTAATTTAGACCTTGTGTGTTCCAAAGATGTTTTTTTTTTTTTTGTTTTTTCATGCTGTGTATTTACTTTTGTGCAAGTGGGAGGAGAAAGATCCAGAAGTCTCAAGCTTAGGAAGTAGAAGGCAGAGGGTTCCCAGGTACATAACTATTGGGAATAATCCTCTTAAGGAGCATCATTTTATACCTACAAGGTGAGGTGAGGAGGGAAGAGGCTGGGTCTTCGAGTGTTAGGGTTTGAAGATAGAACTTGGTGCTTGGCACACAGCAGGTGCTCCATAAGTGATGGCCTTCAGCTTGGTGTGCAGGTATGGGCAGCATCTGAACCAGTCAAGGTGGGCTGTGTGCATTTTTTTAGCTGTTGGTTTGCAAAGAGTAGGTTTGGACCTTGTCTATTTGGAAGGAGAGATTTGAATTTTTTTTTTTTTTTTTTTTTTTTTAAAGATTTTATTTATTTATTTGACAGACAGAGATCACAGTAGGCAGAGAGGCAGGCAGAGAGAGAGGAAGGGAAGCAGGCTTCCCGCTGAGCAGAGAGCCCGATGCGGGGCTCGATCCCAGGACCCTGGGATCATGACCTGAGCCGAAGGCAGAGGCTTTAACCCACTGAGCCACCCAGGCGCCCCTGGAAGGAGAGATTTGAAAGCTGGGGCTGATGCTGTGGGAAGAGGCAGCAGGGTTGCTGGTAGAGAGGAGGGAGGAGGAAGGAAGAGCATGAAGATGGGGGGAGGAAAGACAGGAGGTGCTGAGATGGCTCACATGTGTCTGTGGCCTGGGACAAGCAGGGTGAGGGGGTAGTACTGGGACCAGGCGTGTCAAGACTCCAGAACCCTCTTCTGTAGTAACATAGTTCTCCAGGCTCTGAAGGTGCCTGGGCATGCGAGTTCAGGTTTATGAAGTCTACAGTGGACTTAATCACAGAAACTAGGAAGTCACTGGCCAAAAAGGGCATTTCTGCTCTGAAGAGGAACAGTAGGAGGAGGAAGAGAAGTAGTAAGGTCAATGTTTAATACTTTGTAAATCTGAAGTAAGTTTTTTCCCTTGGTGTCTTAAAATAAGTGAAATATTTGTAGTATACCAAGAGGCATTTGATTTTCCTAATGGAAACATAGCTGAACTTTGAGGAATTTATCCTATGTTTTTGTCAGCGTGAGAGGCACAAACTTAAAAGGAATTAACAACATAGTAAAATCAAGGGAATTTTGATTTTCTGATTCTAAGTGTCCTTAAGTGTCCATCATTGGTCTAGCACAGAAGGGAGTTTGGGTTTAAATATAAACATGAAGCTACCAGGTTGTAGATACCCTGAAGGCAGACTTTAAGATGGACGATGAATGGCTTTTCCAACTCTATAGGCCTCTAAGGTGCCTCGGGCAGGTGCCTTTGCCCTATGGTGGGGTCCCAGCAAATATTTGAATTGAATTGCTTTTCTTCAAATCAGTTCTTTGGGCTACTTTAGACACAGCCCACAAATGTTGCTCAGTTGATTTCCTCATGAAATGGTAGGGTGTTGCACAGGAGCAGAACTTTGGGTTCTCCTAGTCCAGGCCCCTGCACACCCACAAGGAGATGCCAGTCGCTCACCCTTTGTCCGTATGTCCACTATGTGGCAGTGGGATCGCCTCCTGCAACCATTTTAAAGGAGATTGTCTGGTTAGCTATCTGTGCTGCCTGCCCTGTGGAGGAACGGGGGGCAGGTCCAGCCCATGGGGCTGGAGGGCCAGTGTGTTGGGATAGCACCTCCATTTTTGTCTCCTCAGAATGCGAATCTTGATCCCATAGATTTCCATTTGGACTCTAAAGGAAGTTTAAACAGTCTTTTGGGCCTCAGAACATAATAAAAAATACATTCTCAGGTTCACACCAAATCTATCTGAAATCACATTCATACATCAGATAAATAAGCTATAGAAAAAGCATAGCCCCTGTGATTTAAGGCATTATTCTACTTTAAATATATTTTCACAAACAAAAACTACATGAGCTTTCCAAAAACAGAAGATTAATGGAAAAGCCCTGAATGGCAGTGAAGAAGAAAATGAAAATCATTCTGAGGAAATTGTTAATGTTGTTGCTTATCTGTCTATTTCCTGCTGGTCACTTTTGTCTGAGTCTCTGCACATAGACATGAGTATATGCACTTTTCACTACTCGGGTTCGAAAGTGAGATTCCAGTGTCAGTGATGTTGGGTGATACCCAGTATTTTGTGGTCTTGAAGTTGAGATGACTTTTGTTGTTGTTGTTGAATTGAAGTATAGTTGGCAAACTGTAGGATATTAATTTTAGGGGTACAACAGAGAGGTTTGACAGTTGTTTGCATTACTCAGTGCTCATCACAATAAGTGTAGTCACCATCTGTCAGCCTACTGACTTACTACAGTAGTGTTGACTGTGTTCCCTGTGCTGTACTTCTCATCTCCGTGATGTGTGTATTTAACTGGAAGCTTGTGCCTTTTCATCTCCTTCCCCTATTTTGCCCATCTCCCCAACCCCTCCCCCTCTGGCAACCACCAATTTGTTCTCTGTATTTGTGGGTCTGTTTCAGGTTTTTGTTTGTTTCAGTTTGCTTGTACCTTGGTTTTATTTTTTAGATGCCACATGCAAGTGAAATCCTATGGTATTTGTCTTTCTCTGTCTGACTTATTTCACTTAGCATACATAATGCCCTTTAGGCCTACCCACGTTGTCCCAAATGGCAAGATCTCATCCTTTTTTAATGGCTGAGTAATGAAACCTAGATAGATATCTTCTCTGCAGTTCTTTGCCCTCAGATCTAGAACCGTCTCTTGGTGAGAAGGAATGTTTCCGTTGAGGGGCCTGCACAGAACTGCTCCTCTCTCCACATTACCTTCGGCCTTTTTTGGGAAATAGGTTAGATATATGAATTATGTATTTGTTTTTAAAGCGGAAGGCCAGCCAGTCCTCCTCAACATTCTCCAGGATACTAATCCTTATGCGTTCTCTTTCTCCTTCCTTTTAGCAGTCCCTTTTAATCCTTGATATCTTTCTTTCTTTCCTTTGAAATTTTTTTGTTTGAGAAGCTGACACATAATATTACATTAGTTTCAGGTGTGTAACATCGTGGTTAGGCTATGCTCACCAGGAGTGTAGCCACCATCTGTTACCATAAATGTGATTACAATATTACATCTCTGGTGAACTGGAATGTAAACTTCGTCAGTGTTAGAGGATAGATGGTATAGTTCTATTTAGTGAGCCTGGATAAGACTTACTAAAGTTGTAGAAGTTCTCCCCCCCCCAAAAAAAGGGGGGTACCTGGGTGGCTCAGTGGGTTAAAGCCTCTGCCTTCGGCTCAGGTCATGATCCCAGGGTCCTGGAATCGAGCCCCGCATGGGGCTCTCTGCTCAGTGGGGAGCCTGCTTCCACCTCTCTCTCTCTGCCTGCCTCTCAGCCTACTTGTGATCTCTGTCTGTCAAATAAATAAATAAAATCTTAAAAAAAAAAAAAAAAGACTCTGACTCCTGGTTTGCGATGGGTTGCGATGGAGGAACAATCCCCAAAAGACATGAGCTGGTGAAGGGGCCGAAGAAGGTTGAGAAGGTTGACAAAGATGCTGAGCTAGTGGCCCAGTGGAACTATTGCACTCTAAGTCAAGAAATATTAAGGCGACCAATAGATGCCTGTGAACTCGGCAGACTTTATAACAAAGATGCTGTCATTGAGTTTCTATTGGACAAATCTTCTGAAAAGGCTCTTGGGAAGGCAGCATCTCACATTAAAAGCATTAAGAATGTGACAGAACTGAGGCTTTCTGATAATCCTGCCTGGGAAGGAGACAAAGGAAACACAAAAGGCAACAAACACGATGACCTCCAGCGGGCACGTTTCAGCTGCCCCGTTGTGGGCTTGGAGACGAATGGCCGGCACAGGTTTTGCTTCCTGCGGTGCTGTGGTTGTGTGTTTTCTGAGCGAGCCTTGAAAGAGATAAAAGCAGAAGTTTGTCACACATGTGGGGCCGCCTTCCAGGATTACTACGTCATCATGCTCAATGGCACCAAGGAGGACGTGGAAACGCTGAAGGGGAGGATGGAGGAGAGGAGGCTGAGGGCAAAGCTGGAGAAGAAAGCAAAGAAACCCAAGGCAGCAGAGTCTGTCTCAAAGCCAGGTATCAGTGAAGAATTTCCAGGGCCATCAAAAATTAAGACAGGGAAGCCTGAAGAAGCCAGCCTTGATTCTAGAGAGAAGAAAGCCAGCTCAGCTCCCCGGAGTGCAGCAGCAAACGGGAGCTCTTCTGGAAAAGTCAGGAAGACTCTGGGTGGACCCCCAAAGCGGTCCATTGCCGACAGCGAAGAGTCGGAAGCTTACAAGTCCCTTCTCACAACTCACAGCTCCGCCAAGCGCTCCAAGGAGGAGTCCGCCCACTGGGTCACCCACACGTCCTACTGCTTCTAACGCGTGTGCTGCACCCCGTGCCACACAGGCCCGTCCAGTTTCCACCAGGGCCGGTGGCCGGGGCATGCCCGTGCCCTGTCCTCTGCTGGCTCTCCGTTTGCGCCGAGCTATAAATTCGTCCTCCCAACCCCCAGAGCTGGTGTGGTCTCCCCTGCTTGTGACATGTGTGGGTTCCCGTGGTGACGTGCTGGGCCCTGCCCGCCCCCTCCTGCAGGCTCATGCCCTCCCCGCGGCCTGGAAAGAGGCATTCGCTGTACCTTTTATGGCTGAAATAAAGACTCGATTCCTTGGGGTGTGGGGGTGGCCCATTTTGCCTAAAATTCTAATGATTTTGCTGCCAGTAGTGAAACAGACCAGGTGGAATTGGACTTTAGAACATGAGCTTTCCGTGCACCCTGCCGGTGTGTCCATTGGCGGGCACCCCTCTGCACCCCCCCACCGGAGCTGCAGCTTTCCCGGTCACGTCTTGAGGGAGGTTCCTTTATTTTTATCACTTTCAAGTTGAAAGCCTTTTAGTTGGGCATCTGAGGGTTTGATATAAAAATAAAGCAAGTCTGCCTTTTCTCTCAAAGAAAAAAAAAAAAGAAAAAAGGAAAAAAAAAAAACCTCATTCCAGATTTGGGCATCTGTACTTCCCACTTGCCTTCCTCTATTTTGCCCATCCTCCCATGCCTCTCCCCTCTGGCAATCATCAGCTTGTTCTCTGTGTTTACAAACAGATCAGGTCTGATTCGGCTTTTTGTTTGTTTATTCATTTGTTTTTTGTTTTTGTTTTAGATTCCACCTATGAGTGAAATCATATTTGTCTTTCTCTGCCCGACTTGTTTAATTTAGCATTATACCCTCTAGGTCCATCTATGTTGTCATAAATGGCAAGGTATTGTCCTTTTTTATGGTTTTGTAATAATCTAGTGTGTGTGTGTGTGTGTGTGTGTGTGTGTGTGTGTTCTACATTGTTCTTATCCATTTGTCTTTCCATGGACCCTTGGGTTTCTTCTGTATCTTGGCTATTGTAAATGATGCTGCAGTAAATACGGGTGTGCATGTATCCTTCCAAATTAGTGTTTTCATTTTCTTTCTATTTTAATTTTTTAAAATATTTTATTTATTTATTTGACAGGGAGAGACAGAGTGAGAGAGGGATCACAAATAGGGGGGATGGGAGAGGGAGAAGCAGGCTTCCCACTGAGCAGGGAGCCCCACACGGGCTTGATCCCAGGATCCCGGGATCATGACCTGAGCTGAAGGCAGACACTTAATGCCTGAGCCACCCAGCTGCCCCAGTGTTTTCATTTTCTTTGGGTAAATATCTGGTAGTGAAATTATTGGATCATAACGGTATTTTTCTTTTTAATTTTTTGAGGAATTTCCCGACTGTTTTCCTTTCTTACCCCTTTTCTCTTATGGAAGCCCCTACAGCCCCCATCACAGTGTTAGAATCTGATACAACCCAGAGCCCTCTGCCCGTCCCCTCGTATTAGCACCACACCTCTTCCAGTGCATCAGTGACTGGGATGAGAGGTGGCCCAACATTTAAAATCCTCAGGCAGTTAGAAGTGTCCATTATGGCTAAGTAGTTGTAGCATCTCACCCTTTTATGTATTTTGCAGATGGACTAAAGAAGGGATGATAGACTAGGTCGTTTTCCATTCAGTTGTATACTCACTGATTTATTCACTGACCACTGTTTGTGCAGGATCCTCTCTAAATCATGCCAGTTGGTATGTGGTTGCCAATAAATGACAGTGCGGTCAGAGGGTGAATAATGAAAAATGGAAGGACAGGAAGCCAGAGATGGGATTGAAGCAGTTGGATGTGTCTTGCAGGCCTATGGGGACAGCAGCATGTGTATTGGGTTTCCAGTTGTGCACTTAAGCTGTATGTGAGGCCGAACTTGTAGAGCTAGCAGTGAGCAGCTGGGTCACTGTCCTGGACGCCTCACTCCTACCCCTATTGTGTGACCTGTGGGCTGCCTGTGGGGCCTGTGCTGTGTCCTTGCTGCAGCCCCAAGGGTCATGGGGCCAAGGGATAACAGAAGTCAGGAGGCCCTGGTACCCAGCTGTTCCAGGCCAGCAGGAGTGACGTGTGTTCTGGCCTGGGCATGTCCTGCCACCCTCCTCCTGCACCCCTTGACCCTGTCTCTTTGTGGCATTTTGCTTACTCAGACTGGTAGTTACCAGTGGTTCCTCTGGCCACTCCTCTCAAGCTGCCTAACCCCTTGGACTGACCATGGACCCCTCTCTCTGGAAGGGCCCCAGGGGAAGGGAGGCACATGGGTGGCATCTGCTGGACTCAATACATTCACTGCCTTCTTTTTCACGGTTATTTCTACAACAGAAGTAAGAGTGGACTGGAAGACAAGTTTTGTGGAGTGAGGTCCTCCTGGAGGAGCATCTGGCTTCTCAGTTTCTAGATTTCTCAGGCCTCAAAGCTTTTGGGATTAGCTGCTAATCCTCATCAAACTCTTTTCACAGGTAGGGGGTTCTCTTGGAGCTGTGGGGCCATGTGGACGTAGCTTGGCCACCTTCTCTCCCAACACAGAACCTGCCGAGGCCTGAGAGCTGAACCAGTGGAAGCCAAGTGCCCTCAGCCCTTGATGACACCCCCTTTCTGTTTGGCATGGGGGCTGGGGGTGGATAATTCCAGTCTCAGGAGCAGAATTAAGGGAATCTGGGTGTAGGGTTGAATGGTGGGCATGGAGTTGAGGTTTTTAGAGTTTTGTTGATGAAGTCATTTCACTTCACAGTTGTCAGTGGGCACATGAAGCTGCAGCCGTCAGTTCCCGCAGCATGGGACACTGTCCCAGAATGGCGACTGCAGGACTAGGTACCCGCATCTGAAACAGCATGGGAAACAGAGGCCCTTGCCAGCCTTCTCTCTGGTCAGGAGCCTTCTCTGAGCCCCATTGCCAGAGTATCTGACCTCCATAGCATGACTGCCTTGGCCCCCGGGAGCAGCTGTAACAAATACCACAAACTGGATGGCTTAAAACAACAAAAATTTATTCTCTCCAGCTTCTAGAGCCTGGAATCGTGAAATCAAGGTCTCCAGCAGGGCTATGCTCCCTGAGACTCTGGGCATGGTCCTTCCTGGCCTCTCCGGGCCTCTGGTGTTGGCCAGGGATCTGTGGTGTCTCTCAGCCTGTGGCTGCACAATTCTGGCCTCTGCCTCTGTCGTCAGCTGCAGCTGTCTCCTCCCAGTGTCTTTCCATTGTCTTCCTCTGCCCTTGTCTGTGTCTGTGTCCCAGTTTTCCCTTTTGATAGGGACACCAGGTCTACTGGATTGAAGTCCACTGTATGACCTCACTTTAGCTTGATTATCTTTGTGCACACCCTATTTCCAAATAAGGTCACATCTGATGGGCTGGGGGTTGGGACTTCAGTGTATCCTTCAATGTATCCTGAAAAGGACATGAGGGCCAGTTAGTATTAGAGCCATTCACCTTTCTTCCTTCCTGTCTGATTAGTCAAGGGTGCGGGCTGTGGGGTCAGGCTGTCTGGGTGCAAGTCCCAGGTCTATAACGTGGGAGCTGATGACTGAACAAGAGCTCTGGAGTGGAAGAGGTGGGGTGCACATCACAGGAGGCCCTGCAGGAGGGTGCCCATATGTGGGGCTGGCATGGCGGGAGCACCAGGATGTGCGGTGTCACTTCCTTTGATGGCCCTTTTTCTTTTAAGAGAAAGTCATAAAGTCTAAAATATTTAGCCCCCACCCCCTTGGGGAAGGGGTGGATTAAGAAGCTGAAGGTACAAATGGCAGCCCTCGTGGGAGGATTTATCTCCTTGAATGGTCTGAAATGCTCAGGGAATTTCTGGGGAAGGAGCATGAGTGGGTATTTCATTTCTTCAGCAAATGTGTAGTGGGCATCGGAGGAGTGAGAGCTGAATGTGCAAGTGTGTGGGGGGAGAGTGCTCAGGTGGAGAGGACAGCAAGTGCAAAGGCCTGGAGGGTGGAGATCAAAGGCCGTGTCTTAGGAACAGGACGGTAGTAGGAGATGAGCACATTTGGCTTTTGTGCCATGTAGATATGTACAATTATGTAATGAAATTGCTCTCTTCACCAAAGGAATCTGTACGGTGGTGTGTGACTCCCTTGTACAAGGTGGGATTGGCTAGAGGCCAGGACCATCCTGCTGTTTGTCACTACCCTCTTTGGGAGTTGCCATTTGATAAAGTGAGTGAATCTCACCTCAAGGTTTTTAGGGTTTGGTTTTTTTTTTTTTTTTAAGATTTTATTTTTTTATTTATTTGACAGAGAGAGAGAGAGAGAGATCACAAATAGGCAGAGAGGCAGGCAGAGAGAGGGGGCGGGAAGCAGGCTCCCTCCTGAGCACAGAGCCCGATGTGGGGCTCAATCCCAGGATCCTGAGATCATGATCTGAGCTGAAGGCAGAGGCTTAACCCACTGAGCCACCCAGGTGCCCCGGGTTTTTGTTTTTTTTTTTTTTTTTATTTTATTTTTTTTTTTTTTTTGATCTTTGGGGTACCTGGGTGCTCAGTCGTTTGAGCATCCAACTCTTGGTTTCAGTTCAAGTCATGATCTCAGGGACATGAGAATGAGCCCTGTGCTGGGCTCCACACTGGGCTTGGAGCCTGTTTAAGATTCTCTCTCTCCCTCTCCCCTCCCCTGCATCCTGTTTGCATGCTTGCTCTCTCTCTCTCTCTCAAAAAAAAAAAAAAAGTTTTTTAACTTTTGACTAAATATAGCTTTAAACATTATGCTCACCACAAGCAGTAGAAGTGCAACAGTATATAAAGGAATATCCCCCACCTGCCCATGCATGCCTGCATGCCTGTGTGTGCACACACTCACTTTAGTAACAGCCTGGCCCATGTCTTCATTTATTTCTTTCTGAGTCCCATATGGGTTATGATGTTGAATACATTTGCTTGTTTTCACTGTAACTTTTGGGACTATGCAGCACATATGGTGATCTCATTCCTTCTCTGTTCTTCTACCTATAGTTCATGGACATTCCTCCATGTCAATGGGTCTCTGTTGGTCTCCAGCTAATTGTCCCTAGATTTTCCATAGTGTGGGCACATTATAGAATTCTGCTCTGTTGGCAGGTGACCTGTTATATGTAGGCCTCCTGTTGCACAGTTCCATTCGGTGTCACTCAACTCTAGATGGGCTCTGTGGATTCCCTGCACCTGAACCTCATCTTTTGCTATCCTGTGTGCATGAGTGAGAGCACTAGAAACTTCAGGACCCCACTAACCGACTCACACCTGCATTCACTTGGTTACTGAGTCCTGTGGCCTTGGCTCCAGAACACCACCCATCTGTCACCTTTCCCACTGTTCCTCCTCCCCCCAACCACCCAGGTTCCAGCTTTCATCTGTCGCTTAGCCAGAGCTGGCTAGCCTCTCCATCTCCAGCCTCTCTCATGGCCAGGATGTCCCTCAGGTCCCTCAGAGATCTTTTCTTCCCTCACTTGTATCTTCTCAGGGGGTCCATCTGTACTCAGACCTCCTCTTTGCTAGAGGATGTGCAGGTGTGCCCACGGCATTCCAGCGCTCGCTCACCCAGCTCTGCACCTGAGGCTGGAAGGCCCTGCATACCTGGCAGTCTTGGTTTGGAAAAGACTTGACACTTCCTGAGAGCTTCGCCCCTGCTTTGTGCACATGTGTACACGTGTGTGTCCATCTGCCCCACTAATCCTGGTTTCCATCTCTTTCTCCTCCACAGTGAGGGTTCCTTATTTCATTGACTTGAAAAAACCACAGGATCAAGGTTTGAATCACACGTGTAATTACTACCTCGAGCCAGAGGAAGACGTGACCATTGGAGTCTGGTGAGTGCCCAGCAGTATGGCCAGTGTTGTCCAAGATCATCACTTGTTTTTATCCTCCCACTCTCCATTTCCAAAACAGATATGTTGGCTAAATTTGATCCTAATGGAGCACAATGAGATGGCATCAAATCTGTTCTTAGGTTTTCAAGCACTGATGGCTTTATGAACCAGGCTGTTTGTGGAAGGGAGCCTTATTTCCAGGGGGAAAAAAGAGAGTATGAGCATAGAAATGAAAGCACAAATTTGAGTACACCCTTTCTTCTCAAAGAAGGGGATGTTTAGACATTGAAAACAGCTGGATTTCTTTCATAAGCAGTACTTCTAGCCACTGATGTTGTGTTTGCTCTCTTCTTGTATTGACTTTTTTGAGCCACAAATTTAAATTGGACTTAATTAAACTCTGTGACTTCTTTCTGTCTCCTTAGAATATGTTTTTCTGGTGGCGCCTGGGTGGCTCAGTGGGTTAAAGCCTCTGCTTTCGGCTCGGGTCATGATCCCAGGGTCCTGGGATCGAGCCCCGCGTCGGGCTCTCTGCTCGGCAGGGAGCCTGCTTCCTCCTCTCTCTGACTGTTTCTCTGCCTACTTGTGATCTCTGTCTGTCAAATAAATAAATAAAATCTTTAAAAAAAAAAAAAAAAAAAAAGAATATGTTTTTCTCCTTTTCCCTATGAACAAGTGGGTGTTTCTGAAAACTAAATTAAAATTGACCAACTTTTCTGTGCCATTTTCTTTCTTCCTCAGAAGCAGCTTGGCATCATTGCCCCTTTGTGTAGCTAGGTTTCTCTTTCAGCAGCCATGATGTCTCTCTGCCCTTGCAGAAAACTGCTGTGTATGTGAGATGCTTCTAAACAAAATGCTGTGGGTGGCTTCCCACTGTGGGCTGTGAGGAAGTTCAGCCATATCTAATGGTCCTGGGTAGAGAACATAAAATGGGAAGGGAGATTATTGTTCTAGGAGTTAATGCTGGGACTAGGCTTTTGTTATTTCTGGTTTAGTTTAATCTTACATTTACTGACCAGTATGTGTGCATGGGACACTTTGTTCTTGTGTCCTCAGTCAGAAGCTTGATGTGTTTTGCTCAGAGCTATTTGGCAGGGAATTGGTTGGCCCTCCTGCCAGTTAGTGTGGTCTGTGCTTTGAGACACTGGAGGGGTTGTTAGTAGGGACCTCTTTTTTGGGGAGTGGTTAGGGTGGTCTATTGTGGGAGGAGTTGTTTATGGTACTGATACTTGGTCTGAAAGCTCCCGCAGCCGTCACCCACAAAGATTGCCCTTAGTGGCAACAATGGCAAGACTCAAGTTAGTGATAGCCAGGCTGTGTGCTGCTGGGCTGCGGCTGGCCTGCCCACGTCTGCTCCCTGTACTGTTGTGAGGACACTGTGGTCCCTGAGGAAGCAGTAGGCCTTGTTCTTCCCACCCTGTCTGTGAGTGTAATCTCTCCATCTGGCAGGGGGCAGGAGAGCCCTGGGAATAGGTCCCTCTCCTCTGGCTAGGAGCTTCCCCTGTCAAGAGTACCAGGTTTGGGGCAGGCTGGCTCCTGGATGTAATCAGCATCCAGGACCTTTAAAATGTGCCTTTTGGTACCGTGGGTTTATAATTTCAAAGAGTGGTCATTATGGTCAGAACCACCCAAAATGCGATCCTCTGGAACGGGTCAAAGAAACATTAGAAGTGAAATGCTGAGGGGCACCTGGGTGGCTCAGTTGGTAAGTATCCAACTGTTGATTTCAGCTCAGGTCATGATCTCAGGTTTGTGAGATTGAGCCCTATGTCACGCTCCGTACTGGGTGTGGAGTCTGCTTAAGATTCTCTCTCTGCCCCTCCCTCCTCTACCTTCTAAAAAAAAAAAAGAAGTGATAAAACTGAAACTTAAGAGTTAGGAAATTTAAAAATGGCTATTTAATATTTTCCAGCATTCTTGCTAATAAATGTGAATATATTTTATAGAAAAACCTTATTCATTCAGACCCTCCCCAGCAATTAACAGTATTTGATGTGGACGGACATCACATTAACTGGAGCATCTCCCTGAGGGAGAGTTCTGGCCAGAGAGACTGAGTGCACCTGCCTGGCCAGGTGTGGGATGAACTGGGCTGACACCAGTCCATCCATGCAGCATGTTGGCTTGTAGCATCTCCTCCTCCAGAGATGGGTCTGCTCCCAGGTGCCTTGTGAGCAGACTCTAGAAATGGTGCTGAAGGATGTCCAGCTTCTAGTCCAGCTTGTAAAGATCAGTGTCACTTAATTATCACCTCTGACACCATGAACTCTCTTAAGTACGTTGTGAGTTAACTTGTTTACAGGTTAGACTGGATAGTCCAAGATGGCAGAAGACTTAGTTTTGTCTGGTCCCAGGAATTCAGCTAGACCGCTATCAAATCATCCCAAACACTTGTGAACTCAGCCAGAGATCTAAGAAAAGAATAGCTACAACTCTACAAATAGAAAAGTGACCGCTTTCTGCAAGGGTGTGGAAAAGTGAGTCCAGGATGATATATGGGAAGGTAAACTGTGGGCAGAGGGAGCCTCTGTAAGTGATATAGCAGCAGAACACAAAATTGGAACTTTAAGAAGGCTGCTTCGGTAAGGGACATACCTGCCTGATGGGTGCTCAGATCAGATGGCAAAGTGGGAAGGAATCCTAGGTGGGACAATTTGGTCTCAGGATCCTCGGGGTCACAGGAAGACTGGGGGTGCCTGTGTGTGGCAGAGTTCCCAGACATCAGAGGGGGGAAGCTGGTTGCCATAGTGAGCCCAGGAGTGGGCTCTCAGCTCAGGGTTGCCTATCCCATGAACCGTGGCATGGTTGGGCGAATGCTCTCCAAGCAGGGGCCAAAAAAGTGGCAGAGCCATGGAGAGACCCTCTTTCTACCCCATGGAGGAGAAGTGCCAGTGCACACCACAGGAGTCTGCAGGTTTTGGAGACTCCAAATGGGGTCGCATGCCTGAGATAGAAACACTGGGTCACAGGGTAGGTGAGCACATAGTATGAACCGAGACCCCCAGAGACAGGAATGACTGACTGCTTTTCCCTGAGGGCAGACTGAGGAGGTGGGCCCCGTGGCCCAGAGACTGAGAGGCTGCCATTTTCATTCTCGTCCTCTAAAGCGGCGCAGGAATCCTTCAGGGAACAAAAGCCACACTGAGCAATCGGGAGTAGATTACTTAGCCTGGCCCCTGGCAAGGGCAGTGCAATTTTGCCCAGGGGCAAATCTCTGGCCAGATTCCCACTGTTGTGAGAATCTGCACAACAGCCCCCTCCCCCAGAAGACCAGCAAGAACATCTGGCTAGGACCCAAGTTTACCGATCACAGAGAACCTCAAAACTCCAGCACTACTGGAAAATAGTATATAGAATTCGTGGTTGATTCTTTAGTCTTTCAGTATTATTTTTCTTCTTTTTCCTTTTCAACCTCTTTCTTACTTTATCAACTCTTCTTTTTAAATCTTTTTTAATTTTCATTTTTATAGTTACAGTCTCTCCTTTCGTTATATTTTATTTTTGTATATATTTAAGTTTCTCTTCCTTTACAATTTTGGGATGCAGTTTCTTCTAACAAATAGTCCAAAATACACCCAGAATCTAGTGTATGGCTCTGTTCTCTTCACTGTCTAACTGTATTCTCTCTTTTTTTCTTGCTTTTTTAAAAAAAATTTTTAAAGTCTTTTTAATTTTCATTGTTATAGTTATGTTCTGTTCTTTCATTGTATTTAATTTTATTTTTGTACATATATAAGTTTTTCTTCCTTTACAATTTTGGGATCTAATTTTCTAACAAACAGACCAAAATACAAACAGGATCCACTCTATTGGTCTCTTCTGATCACATGTCTGATTATATTCTCTCTCTTTTTTTCCCCCCATTTTTGGGTCTTTTCTTATTCGTAGTGTTTATTTCTCGGGGGTCGTTGTTGCCATTTTAGTATTTTGTTCTCTTGTTCATCTGTTCTTCTCTGGAGAGAATGACAAGACAAAAAACTCACCTAAAAAAGAACAAGAGGCCATACTGACTGCCAGGGTCCTAATCAGTATGGATGTAAGTGAGGTGTCAGGACTAGAGTTCAGAATAACAATTATAAAGATATTAGCTAGGGTTGAAAAAAAGCATAGAAGACACTAGAAAATCCCTTTCTGGAGAAATAAAAGAACTAAAATCTAATCAAGTCAAAATCAAAAGGTTATGAATGAGATGCAATAAAAAATGGAGGCTCTGTCAGGATAAATGAAGCAGTAGAGAGAAATAGTGATATAGAAGACAAAATGATGGAGAATAAAGAAGCTGAGAAAGAGAGATAAGCAACTACTGGACCATGAGAAGAGAATTTGAGAGATAAGTGATACCATAAAATGAAACAATTTTAGAATAATCGGGGTCCCAGAAGAAGAGGAAAGGGAGGGGCCAAAAGTATACTGGAGCAAATTATAGCAAAGAACTTCCCTAATGTGGGGAAGGAAACAAGCAAGTCCAGGAGGCACAGAGAACCTCCCCTCAAAATCAATAAAAATAGGATAACACCCTGACATACAATAGTGAAACTTGCGAATCTCAAAGACAGAATACTGAAGGCAGCTCAGGGTAAGTCCATAACCTACAACGGTAGAAACATTAGACTTCCAGCAAACCTATCCACAGAGACCTGGCAGTCCAGAAAGGACTGGCATGATATATTCAGCATGCTAAATGAGAAGAATATGGAGCTGAGACTATTTTATCCAACTAGGATGTCATTCAAAAGAGGAGAGATAAAAAGCTTCCAGGATAAACAAACAGAAGCTAGAAGAATTTGTGACACTAAGCCAGCCTAGCAAGAAATATTAAAAGGGATCCTTTAAGTGAAGAGAGAGCCCAAAAGTACCGAACAGAGACAATATACAGAAACAGTGACTTCACAGGTAATAAAAAGTTACTAAATTCATAATTTTCAGTAATTTCTCTGAATATAAATGGGCTAATTGCCCAAATCAAAAGAAACAGAGTGTCAGATTGGATAAAGAAGCAAACCATCCATATGCTGTTTGCAAGAGATTAATTTTAGGCCCACAGGCACCTGCAGGTTGAAAGTGAGGGGGTGGAAAATTATTTATCATGCTAATAAACATCAAAAAAAAGCTGGGGTGGCAATCTTTATGTCAGACAAATTATATTTTAAGCCAAAGGATGTAATAAGAGATGAGGAAGGACACTATATCATAATTAAAGGTTCTATACAGTGAGAAGATCTAACAGTTGTAAACATTTATACCCTAACACAGGACCAGCCAATTATATAAACCAATTAACAATAAAATTAAACTAACACATTTATAATAATATAATAATAGTAAAGGACTTTATTATTTTTTAAGAGAATTTATTTATTTATTTGACAGAGAGAGAGAACACAAGGAGGGGAAGCAGGCTCCCTACTGAGCAAAGAGCCTGATGTGGGGCTTAATCCCAGACCCTGAGATCATGCCATGTACTGAAGGCAGATGCTTAAATGACTGAAGCACCCAGGTGCTCTAATAGTAGGGGACTTTAACACCCCACTCACTGCAACAGATCATCTAAGCAGAAGATTAATAAGGAAACAAGGGCTTTGAATGACACACTGGACTGTACTTTACAGATATATTCAGAGCATTCCATCCTAAAGCAAAAGAATACACATTCTTCTCATGTGTACATGGAACATTCTCCACAAAAGGTCACATACTGGGTCATAAATCAGGTCTCAACCAGTACCAGAAAATTGAGATTATTCCATGCATATCTTTGGACCATGATGCTTTGAACCTGGAACTCAATCACAAGAGGAAATTTGGAAAAAACTCAAATACCTGGAGTCTAAAGAGCATCCTACTAAGGAACGAATGGGTCATCCAGGAAATTAAAGAAGAATTTAAGAATTCGTGGAAACTAATGAAAATGAAAACACGACTGTTCCAGACCTTTGGGATGCGACAAAGGTGGTCCTAAGAGGGAAGTATATAGCCATAGAAAACTTTCTCAAGAGACAAGAAAGGTCTCAAATATATAACATAACCCTACACCTAGAGGAGCTGCTGAACCCAGCAAATAAAGCCTAAATCAGGAAGAAGGGGAATGATAAAGATTAGACCAGAAATCAATGAAATAGAAACCAAAAGAACAGTAGAACAGATCAACAAAACTGGGAACTTGTTTTTTGAAAGAATAAGATCAATAAACATGTGGCCAGACTTATCCAAAAGAAAAGAGAAAGCACACAAATTAATAAAATCATGAATGAAAGAGGAGAGATCACAACCAACACTGAAGAAATACACATAATTATAAGAACATATTATGAGACAACCATATGCCAGCAAATTAGGCAATCCAGAAGAAATATATACATTCCCAGAGACATATAAACTACCAAAACTGAAACAGGAAGAAATAGAAAAACCAAACAGATCCACAACCAGCAAGGAAATTGAAGCAGTAATTAAAAATCTCCCAAAAAACTAGAGTCCAGGGCCAGATGGCCTCCCAGGGGAATTCTACCAAACATTTAAAGAAGAATTAATACCTATTCTTCTGAAGCTGTTTCAAAAAATATAAATGGAAGGAGAACTTCCAAACTCATTCTATGAGGCCAGCATTACCCTGATCACAAAACTGGACAAATACTCCACCAAAAATGAGAATTACAGACCAGTGTCCCTGATGCACATGGATGCAAAAATTCTCACCAAAATACTAGCCAGTAGGATCCAACAGTACATTAAAAGTTTTATTATTCACCATGACCAAGTGGGATTTATTCCTAGACTGCAAGGGTGGTTCAACATCTCCAAATCAATCAGTGTGACAGACTACATTAATATAAGAAAGGCAAGAACTATTGATCCTGTCAATTGATCCAGAAAAAGCATTTGACAAATACAGCATCCTTTCTCTTCTTTTGTTTTTTTTTTTTAAGATTTTATTTGTTTATTTGACAGATAGAAATCACAAGTAGGCAGAGAGTCAGGCAGAGAGAGAGAAGGGGAAGCAGGCTCCCTACCAAGCAGAGAGCCCGACGCGGGACTCGATCCCAGGACCCTGAGATCATGACCTGAGCTGAAAGCAGAGGCTTAACCCACTGAGCCACCCAGGTGTTCCTATAGCATCCTTTCTTGATTAAAGCTTTCCATAGTGTAGAGATAGAGGGAACACACCTCAATATCATAAAAGCCATCTATTAAAAGCCCACAGTGAATATCATTATCAATGGAGTAGAACTGAGAGCTTTCCCCCTAAGGTCAGGAACATGACAGAGATGCCCACTCTCACCACTGTTATTCAGCATAGTACTAGAAGTCCTAGGCAGTCAGAGAATGAAAAGAAATAAAAGACATTCAAATTGGCAAAGAGGAAGTCACACTCTCTCTCTTCACAGATGACATGATACATCATGTGGGAAATCCAAAAGACTCCACCCCAAAATTACTAGAACTCATACAGCAATTCAGCAAAGTGGCAGGATATAAAATCAGTGCACTGAAATCAGATGCATTTGTATACACTAATGATGAAACAGAGAAAGAGAAGTTAAGGAATCAATTCATGTTTGCAATAGCACCAAAAACCATAGACACTTGGAATAAACCTAACCAAAGAGGTCAATAATGTATACTCTAGAAACTATAGAACACTTACGAAAGAAATTGAGGAAGACACAGAGATGGAAAAACGTTCCATGCTCATGGATTGGAAGAATAAACATTGTTGAAATGTCTATGCTACCCAGAGCAATCTACACATTTAGTGCAATCCCTATCAAAATACCATTGACATTTTCACAGAGCTGGAATAAATAATCCTAAAATTTATATAGAACCAGAAAAGACCCTGAATGACTAGAGGACTATTGAAAAAGAAAACCAAAGCTGGGGCATCACAATGCCTGATTTCAAGCTATATTACAAAGCTGTGATCATCAAGACAGTATGGTACTGGCACAGAAACAGACACATAGATCAATGGAATAGAATAGAGACCCCAGAAATGGACCCTTGATTCTATGGTCAAGTAATCTCAGACAAAGCAGGTAAGAATATCCAGTGGAACAAAGGAAGTCTCTTCAATAAGTGGTGCTGGGAAAATTAGCCACATGCAGAAGAATGAAACTGAACCATTCTCTTATACCATACAAAAAGATAAGCACAAAATGGTTGAAAGAACTCAGTGTGAGACAGGAATCCATCAAAATCATGGAGGAGAGCACAGCCAGCAACCTCTTTGACCTCAGCCGCAGCAACTTCTTGCTAGACATGTCTCTGATAGAAAAGGAAACAAGCAAAAATGAACTATTGGGACTTCATCAAGATAAAAAGTTCTGCACAGCAAAGGAAACAGTGAACAAAACTAAAAGGCAACCTACATTACGGGAAAAGATTTTGCAAATGACATATCAGATAAAGGGCCTGTATCCAAGATATATAAAGAACTTATCAAACTCATCACCCAATAAACAAATAATCCAGTCAAAAATGGGCAGAAGTCATGAACAGACATTTCTTCAAAGAAGACATACAAATGGTCAACAGACACATGAAGAAATGCTTCATATCACTTGGCATCATGGAAATACACTTCAAAACCACAGTGAGATACAACCTTATATCAGTCAGAATAGCTAAAATTAACCAGACTGGAAACAACAAATGTTGATGAGGATGTGGAAAAAGGGGAACCCTCTTAACACTGTTGGTGGGAATGCAAGCTGGTACAGCCACTCTGGAAAACAGTATGGAGGTTCCTCAAAAAGTTAAAAGAAGAGGTACCCTATGACCCAGTAATTGTACTACTAGGTATTTATCCAAAGGATACAAGCGGTCATTTGAAGGGGCATCAGCATCCCCATGTTCGTAGCAGCAATGTCCACAATAAACAAACTATGAGAAGAGCCCAGGTGTCCAGTCACAGATCAATGGATAAAGAAGATGTGGTATATAAAATGGAATACTACTCATCCATCAGAAAGTATGAATACTCACTATTTACATGGACATAGATGTAACTGGAGGGTATTAATGCTAAGCAGAATAAGTCAATAAGAGAAAGACAATTATCATATGATTTCACTCATATGTGGAATTTAAGAAGCAAAACAGAGGATCATAAGGGAAGAGAGGAAAAAATAAAGACAAAATCAGAGAGGGAGACAAATCATAAGAGACTCAATTATAGGAGACAAACTGAGGGTTGCTGGAGGGGAGGTGGGTGGGGTTATGGGGTAACTGGGTGATAGACATTAAGGAGGGCACATGATGTAATGAGCATCGTGTGTTATATAAGAATGATCAATCACTGACCTCTACCTCTGAAATTAATAATATATGTTAATTAATTGAATTTAGATAAAAATAAAAAATAGTGTACAGCTTAATAATATGGGTATGTATGAGGGGAAATGATCTTACCTAGCTAGTATTTATTAAGCAGTCATTCTGTGTGAGGCCCAGATGAGGTCCTGGTGAACGAGCCAAACTAGATCTTACCTTACAGAATGTCCAGTTCACATGGGAGAAACTCCACCCCCAGCCCCAGCCCCTGCCTACCTGCTACCACAGCTACCCCTTCTGTGGCCCAGAGGGGCCCAGGTGTGAGTGAGGAAATCTCCTACCAAGGCTGTCAGAAGCCGTCACTGTAGCTTGGAGTTCTGTAGTTATTTCTTCTGCCTGCCACCGCCCCCCCACCCCCGCCACCACCTGGCCTGCTCTGAGCTCAGTTATGACTCTGATCCTGTGTCATTCTGTCAACAGTCATCCTTATCCGATCATTCCACTCCACTCTGCTTCTGTTTCCAGGCACACTGTCCCCGCTGTCTGGTGGAAGGACGCCCAGGGAAAGGACCAGATGTGGTACGAGGATGCCTTGGCTTCCAGTCACCCTATCATCCTGTACCTGCATGGGAATGCAGGCACAAGGTGAGGAACAAGAGCCTGTGTAGCATGTCCTCCCCTCAATGCTGGCCCAGTCCGGTCTGCTGACCCATTGCAGTGAGGGAGTGTACAGGTAGTGGGGCTGTGGGGCATCCTGAGAACACAGGAAATGGCAGTTTATGGGATTTGGGGGAAAGGGTTCAGGGTGAAACTCCCATGAAGCAGTGTTCCCACAAGCTCAGAGTAGAGCAGAGCTATATGGAAGGTGGGCCCAGGTGCAGGTTCCTTGGGAAACCACCCCCACTCCCCATGTTAAACAGATGTAGGAGTCTGTGTCCAGATACCCCTTATCTGGGGCTCCCACCTGGGTGGGATGGAGGAGCCTGCATCACATCACCTAGATCCTTGGCCAGAGTGCGGTGTTTCCTTCTTCCTGAAGTAATCTGAAGGGCAAAGTGAGGGCCAGTGATTTAGGGAATCCGGTTTCTCAGTGAGTAAGCAGTGGTTGTTCCTCAGAGGGGTTGTTGTGACACTTCAGGGCAGCAGTGCCCCTGGGGAGTGCTGTCTCCTGTTCACCAGCCTTGTGTGTCAGCTCAGGCTGAGTGTCGCAGGCAGGCTGGCCCCTTCTCGCTAGCAGGCATGCCCTTCTGGAGGTTGGGGGGAGCATACTTCCTGGTAAGGGGCAGTGAGTGCTGAGGAGGAATTGGGGTGACATTGAAGGAAGGATGGCTGAAAGCACAAGGAGGCCAGAGGGACCCCAGGGGAATGCACACAGATAAACTCATTCGTGTAGGCTGCGCCATGCTGTTGGGTTGGGTGATGAGTGTGAGTTCTGTCTCTCAGCGGTAAGACAGCAATGCCAGTGTATCCTGCTGGGTGTGTCTGAGGCCCTGTCTGTGGCAAGCTGTTGCTCAAGTTTATCCCAGATCATTTTCAAGAGTGTCTTTAGGGAACCCTCCCTACACTGTTGGTGGGAATGCAAGCTGGTGCAACCACTCTGGAAAACAGCATGGAGATTCCTCAAAAAGTTGAAAATAGAGCCTACCCTATGACCCAGCAATTGCACTACTGGGTATTTACCCTAAAGATGCAAACATAGTGATCCGAAGGGGCACGTGCACCTGTATGTTTACAGCAGCAATGTCCACAATAGCCAAACTGTGGAAAGAACCTAGATGTCCATCAACAGATGAATGGATAAAGAAGATGTGGTATATATATACAATGGAATACTATGCAGCCATCAAAAGAAATGAAATCCTGCCATTTACAACAACGTGGATGGAACTAGAGGGTATTATGCTTAGTGAAATAAGTCAATCTGAGAAGGACAACTATCATATGATCTCCCTGATAAGAGGAAGTGGAGATGCAATGTGGAGGGTTTGGGGGGTAGGAAAAGAATAAATGAAACAAGATGGGATCGGGAGGGAGACAAAGCATAAGAGACTCTTAATCTCAGAAAGCAAACTGAGGGTTGCTGAGGGGAGTGGGGACGGGAGAGGGTGGTTGGGTTATGGACTTTGGGGAAGGTATGTGCTATGGTGAGTGCAGTGAAGTATGTAACCCTAACAATTTACAGACCTGTACCCCTGAGTCTAATAATACATTATATGTTTATTTAAAAAAAAAATGTCTTTAGGGGCGCCTGGGTGGCTAAGTCGGTTAAGCAGCAGCCTTCAGTTCAGGTCATGATCTTAGGGTCTTGGGCTTGAGCCCTGTGTCAGACTCCCTGCTCAGCGTGTAGTCTGCTCCCTTTTCTTCTGCTCCTCCCCCTGCTCATGCATTCGTGCTCAGTCTCTCTCTCTCATGCCTTCAATGGCATGTTGTTCACGTTCACTGGGAATTGACTTTTTCTACCCACGCGGTGGAAAGAATCCCTGGGAGAGCAGCATGGGTGAAGGAGGAGGTACATTTTCTGAACAGAGCATTGTCTGAAAACCCCCAGGAAGGCCGCTGTTGTTGCAGCTTCACTAGGGCATGTGAGGGAGCCAGCAGGAGCTGGCAGGAGGCAGGGCTGCTCCAGGCCCCAGGTGAGGGTCAGCCTGGTGCCTAGCTGCAGTGGCAGGCTGGGGGCATGTCATTTTGTAAGCAGAACCAACAAGGAGATGAATTCGTAGGCCTTGTAGTTTTGTGGGGGGGGCAAGCCAACAGTGTCTCTCAGCGATGTCGGGGTGCCAGGGCTGCATAGTGGACAGCACAGGAAGTCCAGGAAGTATGGGCCGCGAGGATGCTTTGTGAGGCTGCACAGTGCTCAGCTGCTGAATCATGTGTGCACTTGGCAGTTTGCTTTCTTCTCTGCCTGGGACAAGCTACAGTGGGTTTCTCTTCTGCTTTTCAAAGTGCAAGTGGTTATAACCACTCTGCTAGCCTCTTCCTATAAATGAGAAAATTTTGTAGTTTACTGGGAATAAGGTTCATTTAAGCAATGCCAGTCACATGGTAAAAAAGACAAAGTCTGCCTAAACTTCAGGTTTGAAGGAGCCCTGTGACTTGGAAAGTCTTGCTGTCCTCTCCCCCGTCCCCAGAGAGACCCCCCCCCTTGGCCTGGCAGAATTACAGCAGCTCTGTCTCCCCAAGAGCCAGTCTCTGGCTACTGCTATGCACTCTTCTTCTTCTTCTTTTTTTTTACCCCTCTTCTTTTTGCTCAAAGTGGGGAATTTGAACAATCTAGACAAGACATCAAGACATGTACTTCTCCAAAGATAACTGAAAACATTTTTCAGTATTTCTTTCTGGTCCTGAAACTCATTCCCTTGTATTTCTGTGGCCACACTGCATTGGTTTTCCTTCTTTGTCTCATCCCTGTCTCTCTCAGGGACACTCCCTGCCCTCCCCACCCACAAACACACACACAGCAAAGTGGCCAGGGTGCTCATTATAACAAAAGAAAACTGCTGAGAAGTCTGGAGAGGGTGAGCTCACTCGCTAACATGCTTTCCTTCCTGAGGTCGCCCCGTTCCCACTTTGGTGTCTATCCACAGTAATAGCTGACCAGTAGCTGGACAAAATGTGAGGAGGGATAGATAGTACTCGGACAAAGAAGTATAGACACACAAAACACTTTGGATGCACAAAAGCCTGTTTAGCATCTATAATAGGAAGTGACCCCATCACACTAATCTGTGGGTATGGGGCTGGGAGATGGTCAGGGCCCCTCTGAAGATGGCTGGGCAGTAATTGTCAAGATTACGATCACAAACACCTTCCATCCAGCAGTTCCGTGTGTAGGAACATATGGAGCACATGTGTGCAGGAGGATATTAGCACGGGCTGGCCGTGGCAGCAAAACTTAGATTCACAGCAGGTAGGAGAGGGACACAATGACTGCAAGATAAGGAAGGTGAACCACCACTTAAAAGAGTCCTGGAAGTTGGCTGTGCATTACTGAGTGAAAAGTGAGAGGCAGTAGAGTGTGCATGTCGAGGAAAGAAGTGCCTTCACTTCTGCCACATGCTGGTCACCAGGGAGCTGAGGGAAGGGCTAGATGCTGGGCAGGAGTGGGGGGCTTACTGTCTGTCCTCTGTATCTTCTGAAGTTTGTGTTGTTCCTATGTGTTAGTCAAAAATAGAAGTAAGATGATAATTAAGAAATATCCCCAAAGTGCTAAGACTATCCCTTGCTTGTCACGGTATTGCCAGAAACAAGCATGGAGCTGCTCTGATGCCCTGTAGAAGAGGTCATCTGTCCCCCAATGACCCTCTCTGTATGAATTTGGGGACCAAGCCACTAAGGACCCAGACACTCTAGTACTGACCCTGGGGGCATGCCTTTTTGAGAAAATGTGCTAACACCCATTCTTGTTTCCTTTTCCCTGACTCTCTAGAGGAGGTGACCACCGGGTGGAACTTTACAAGGTAGGTGAAGATGGCACACAATGTATGATGGACAGAGTGGTGTCCATAGGCTGCTTGATGTGCAGAGTGGTGTATATAGTGATGACGGGAGAGTGGTGTACACAGTGTGATTTCGGGAGAGCGGCATACATGGTGTGATGTTGGGAGAGCAGTGTACACAGTGATGACAGGAGAGCTGCATACATGGTTGAAGACAGGAGAGGAGGGTACACAGTGTGATGTCGGGAGAGCAGTGTACACAGTGATAACAGGAAAGGCGCTAACATGGTTTGATCACAGGAGAGCATGTACGTGGTGTGATGACAGGAGAGCGGGGTCTATGGTATGATGTTGGGAGAGCGGTGTACACGGTGTGTATGACCGGGAGCGCAGTGTACACAGTGATGACAGGAGTGCGGTATACACGGTGTGATGACAGGAGAGTAGTGTATGTTGGGAGAATGGTGTACACGGTGTATATGACAGGGAGCATGGTGTACATGGTGTGTGTGACAGGGAGAGTGCCATACATGGTGTGATGACAGGCAGAGCAGTGTACACACAGTATAGGACACACAGAGTGGTATTCACAGGGTGTACGATGGGGAGATTTGTGTACACGGGGCATATGAAGGGCAGAGCCACATACGTAGTGTGTATGAAGGGAGAGTGGTATCCACACGGTATACGAAGGAAAGTGCATCACCCAGGGTTGTCTCCCACCTGTTCTCTCCAGTAGGCATGTACACAAGGGAGTCCCTCCAGTACTTGTGAGAGAGATGATCAACATTGGCCTTTCCAATGCTGCCTCCATTGGAAGCCTCTACCGTGGAATGCTTCCCTCTAATGCTGCCTCTAGGGAGAGCTTCCAAAAGCAGAATGAGTGGACTTCTGGCATTATCTGCCAGATATTGGCAGTTATATTAAAGGCATTTGAAATTGTCATTAAATGCTGCATTTCTCCTCTAAAACAGGGCCAGGAAGCCACACTCTGGCCAAGTTGCAGGGTCAGGAACTCTGCCACACTGAAGTCTCACCCATCACCAGATTCCAGGCTGACCTGGTGGAGGGGCTGGTGGGTCTGCCAGCCAGGCATTCAGACCCTCACTTCTGCCTGGTTGTCTTCTTTGGAAGCTTGAGTCTCAGAGCTGGAAATGTGCAGTTGCCTCCAGGGTCCTCTCTCTCATCTACCCCTCACAGGGACCGACCCCTGCATTGGTTAACCTGGCAGAGAGCAAATGCGAGGGAACATCTGCATCTTGTGGGCACCGCTCTGTCCCTCACACATCAAGGCCACGCACTGCTGTGGGCCATGTGAGGGTTTGTTCTTTGACTGAATTGGATCAAGTTGGGGAGGGGGTGCTCCTGTGGAGCTGTGGCCCCTGCTTGAGGTTTCTGTTCTTAGCAAGGGTTTGCACCTAGAGCAGGTATGGCCCTGGTGGGAGCAGATGCTGCAGGGGCAGATGCTGCCCTGGGGCAGGCAAAGGAGAAAGGAGCACACCTCCCTCCGGGGATTTTGGGGCATGTTGGTGGCTGGCCACTTCCACATGTCTCCGGGCACACTACAGGAAAGCTCAGGTGTGGGCTTTGAGAAATTATCTAGTCCAGAAGATCACGTCATCTAGAGGGATTTTGTTTTTAATAATAGAAAAATCCCAACGAAAGCTTCAAGTCTAAGAAATGCTAGGTTGCAGTAAGGATCCCAGATGCTCTGACCATAGAGCCTCTCCTTCTGGGTCTCTGGTCTCAGGGTGTCTGCCCTGGCTGGGAGGCTACCTGTGCCCTGGGGATCTGAGCCGCAGGAGAGCCCTTCTTTCCATCATATCCCCGAGGCAGCGGCATCTGCATGTCCTGTAGCAGCAGCAGACATGTGGGTTTTATAATGGGGAATGGGCAGCATGGTCACAGTGTTTATGAAGCTCCCACTGTGTGCGGGGCCCAAAGACTGACATCGGGCTGGCTTTGGTAAGAGGCAAGCTGCCCTCAATTCAAGATGTGTGGATTTGTGCCCAGATATTTATTTTTTACGTTCTAGGTGCTGAGTTCCCTTGGTTATCACGTGGTCACCTTTGACTACAGAGGTGAGTTCTTTTGCAAGTGTGAGTCTGGGCCCTCACACTGCTCCCGTCCGGGTCTGCTGTGCAGGCGTCAGTCACCTTGGGAGCCGAGGCAGCGTTTGTAGCTCATGGTGCCCTGACCTGCAGTGATGGCGAGTGTGGTGACCGGGGTGAGGGCACATCATCTTCCCGTGTGTGTCCTGCCTGCTGATGAGGGGCATCCCTCAGCAACATTTTAAATGTAGAAGACACTGTCATTTCTTTACTGGATTCCGACTCACCAGAGCTGGTCTTCGGACACATTTTGTGGGCAGAAGAGCTTGTCTTGTTAAAGTTCTTTTTTTTTTTTTTTTAAAGATTTTATTTATTTATTTGACAGAGAGAGATCACAAGTAGGCAGAGAGGCAGGCAGAGAGAGAGGGGAGGAAGCAGGCTCCCTATGGAGCAGAGAGCCCGATGCGGGGCTCGATCCCAGGACCCTGGGACCATGACCTGAGCCAAAGGCAGAGGCTTTAATCCACTGAGCCACCCAGGCGCCCCTCTTGTTAAAGTTCTGAAAACAGGAGAAAGAACTGTTAAGAGAGAAGGAAGATTCTTCTTGCCCCTCAGTATTTTTTCTTTCTTGAGTGAATCAGAAGGCTTTGCTGCCAAAGAGATGGAGAACCCACAGTCACTATAGGCTAAGAATGGTGCACCTTAACGAGCCAGGAAAATACTTTGTACTGACCGGGAGCTGCCTTGTGAGAAGCATGGGCCTCCTGTAGTCTCAGCAGCAGAGGTGAGAGGTCAGAGGGCTGCTTGGCTTACTTAGCCTGCTTAGCTTGACCTACTGGGGGAGGGTAATGGTGTCAATACCCTCAGACCGAGGGTATGGCGTCGTAACAAATTGCCACACACCTTATGTCTTCAAAGAGCACAGACTTACTTTGCAGTTCTGGAGGTCGAAAGTCCAAAATCTTTGGCCGCTGGGTTAAGATCCAGGTGTTGGCAGGACCAGCCCTTCAGGAGCTTCTGTGGGAGAATCTAGTTCCTTGCCTTTCCAGCTGCTTGAAGCTGTCCTTGTGCCTCAGTGCATGGCCTCTTGAGTCTGATCTCTGACCCTGACTTTTGCCTTTCCCTCTCACTTGCCCAGCAGACCATTGTGGTGACTTTGCACCCACGCTGGTAAGCCCGTAATCGCCCATGTCATAGTCTGCTGATCAGCGGCCTCATTTCCTCCTACTGCCTCAGTCCCGCCCCTTGCTGGCCACAGAATCAAATGTCCTCACAGGCCCCGGGGATGAACACACGGGCCTCTGGGGTGACCGTGGCCTACCTGCTTCAAGGATGGTTCTTTCCCAGAAGAGTGTTCGCAAGTTCTGGGTTGGGAAAAACTACAGATAAGGATCTGGAAAGTAGTTCACCCACTTACCTTTTCTCTGTGCTAAAAAGGGTTTTGTGTTCCTACAGGTGCTAGAGACTTCAGGGTGATAGAGCAGCCTCCTTCCTTGTTCACCTCTTTGTGCTTCTACCAGGAAGTGAAAGCCCTCACAGCACTTTGTCTTTCCAGTTCTCATCAAGTCTCTGCATTTCTAAGCTCCACATCTGCCAGTCTCTGTCTCTCTGTGTCCCTTCCTCCTGTCCACACCTTGAAGCTCTCAGGGTGGCCTTGTCTCTCACGTGCCCCCTTCGCTAATCTGGCATCTGGGATGCCCAGGGGAGGTGCCTTATTGTGCCCACTAGTTGTGGGTTTTGCTTATGCAGCAGAGCAGGCTCTTTCTGAGCCTCGTGGTGCTTTCAGGTCATTTGATGATGACTCACTGCTGAGTTGCTAGAAATGACAGTGGCATTTGCCCTTTACAAGATCCTGGGGGGAGGGCCCTGGGGGAAAATGTGGTCTGGGGACTGAGATGATTAGCTTTCCTCTGCTATTCTGAGAGCCCCTTTTCTTTCTGGGTCAGAGTTGCCTTGAGCCTGGAATCCTGCCCCCACCCCAGCCTGACTCCCCACATCTGTCTTTAGCTGGGCTACAGCCGGCCGTGGAAGCCAGACTGGGCTCAGGATCCCCCTGGGGATGCTCCTTTCCTGCCGGGGCTCTGGGCAAGCTGGGGTCTCACTGGCCCATCACCTTGGGCCAGCTACCAGCAAGCCCTAAGTGTTGGGGAGGTTGCTGCCCCATCTGCCCGCAGGAGTCTGTGGGTCTGATGGCTCTGTCTGCACAGTTGTTCGTCGAGGCTTAGATAAGGGTGTGTGGATGGCTGTTTGGGCTCAGGGGTTGTAGCTGGCCAAGGAAGCCGGAGAAGTAGAATCCGGCTTGTCCACACACCCCTCACGTGGGTCTGTGAATGATGGTGGCAGAGACTTCTGTTGCCCCAGCCAGCCCTAGGCTGTCTGTTGAGAAAGAAGGGGATGAGTCCACCCCTCAAGCAGTTCCAGGGGCTGGGATTTGACTTCTTCCTCTTGCCACTTCTCCCCCGCCAGGCTGGGGTGACTCGGTAGGAACGCCATCGGAGCGAGGCATGACATATGACGCACTCCATGTTTTTGACTGGATCAAAGCAAGAAGTGGAGACAACCCTGTGTATATTTGGGGTCATTCCCTAGGCACTGGGTGAGTTCACAGCCTGGTGGAGTCATGGGGAAGCAGGTCTCCATGGGGCAACGTTTCACCAGGTCTCTCCAAGACTGCCCTGATGGCGTCTGGATCCTGTGACACCATGAGTCCCAACAACCCTTGTCCCTCATTCCTGTGATGGGGAGGGGAAGAAGTGCCACAAGACACCATGAAGAGTTTGAGCAACTTGAACTCCTCAACCCAAAAAGGGACTTGAGATACACACAGGCAGCTGTGGGTTGGCCATTTCCCTCTGCAGGGAGGGTAGGCACACTTGCCTCAGTCCCAGGGTGTTCCTCAGGGAGGTATCTGCACAGCAGACCAGACAGGGCACTTGGGTTAGCATCACCTGGCTCTGGAGTGTGGGTGCTGGCTGGCAGCCTGAGGGCTGGGGCTTTAATCACTTGCAAACCAGGGACGTTTGTAAACAGCATGACCACTTGGCCTGTACTTGGCTTACCAGAGACCATAGGGGAGGCAGCAGTGGGTGGTTCCCTTCCCACATCTGCCAGGATGGGGGAAACAGTTTAATATTCCATCTGGGGCTGCCTGAATCGCTGCTGCTGATGGAAGGTCAACAATGTTTCTAAAAGGGGCACTGCTGTTAGTGCCCGGAGTCATGAGGCCTTCAGCAACCATCCCTTTTCCAGCAGCTTTTCCTTTGGGTGCAGTGGGCCGTGGCCCCTTCCTCCCCCTGATGCTCACCTTGGACAGCCTGCTGCAGTTGGTGTGGGCCTGCAGGCTGGGAAGTGCTTGCAGAGAGGAGCTGGGACTGAGCGGGGAGCAGGCCGTCCTGCTGTGGCTGTCTGCATGGGACCCGCCCAATGTGGCCCTAGGATGGCAAGAGGTCCGGGGGCTGTCATTGCCATCCTTGTCAGAAGGGGTGCCCCCCCCATGGCGGGGGCAGCAGGGTCCAATCACGGTCCTGGGGCATCTTTGTCCGTACTCTCCCCCAGCCCCAAACTCCACCAGTTGCTTCACAGATCCCACAGTTCCTCTGGTCACTTACAAGACTAGAACAGTCTCATCTCAAACAACTTCCATCGTCATTCACCTGAACTGTTTTTCCTTCCTTCTCAGAGTGGCGACAAATCTGGTGCGGCGCCTTTGTGAGCGAGGTAGGGGCCTGTGTGGTGGTGGGAGTCTTGGTGGGCTGGGCAGGGGCTCCTCCTGGTCTCTGGGCTCAGGCGGGGTGGGCAGCGTGTTTGTGCTCTGCTGTGGGTTCTTGGGAGGTGGATGCTGATGGATGACAGCACAGTGACAGTGCTTGGTGTTGTCTCGGAGCCCTGCGGGCTGGACACAGGCACCGCGGTATGGGTAAACCCTCAGCTGACCCCAGCCTGCATTCCCCACGGATTTTTGAACAGCTGGCGGAGCCTTATCAGGACTGGGCTCCCAAGACACAGCTTCAGTAGATGTGGTTCTGGGGAGCAAATGACAGCCACCTGAGAGGCCCCTGTGTGGGCTCGTGTGGGCACTTCTTATGTCCCATCCATGCAGGAGTGCCTGTGGAGGGGGGCAGGGCTGATGGTGGGGGGTGCCTGGGGTCCACTGTTCAGTCTGGGGGACCAGCCTCTCCCGGGACATCTGTGAGGGCTTCTTGCCCACCTCGCAGCCCCCTGTTTGTTTTATTTTCTAGAGACACCTCCAGATGCCCTTATATTGGAATCTCCATTCACTAATATACGTGAAGAAGCTAAGAGCCATCCCTTCTCAGTGGCAAGTACAGATCTTATTAAAAGTTGCCTTATTGTTATTATTAAAATAATTACTATCAAGGTAAGTCTTAAGAGAATAAGTATAAAATAAAAATTAATCCTTGTTTAGTGCAGGGCGTTGCCGGGGAATTTTATAACTCTGTAGCAGGCAGAAGGATGGGTTCACAGCTGGGTTGTCCAAGGATAGTAGGATTCCCGGGAGGCCATGCCTCTGAGGCATGGTTTGCCTAGCTGGCATCGTTGCCCTGCAGGGCTCAGCCCAGGCCTGTGGCTGCTGTCCTGGCTGCTTCTGCGAACACAGAGCTGGTGGGTGCCCCTGCTCCCTGTCTGCATAGACGGTGCTCAGCAGTAAGGCTCTCCCAGTCGTGTCTCCAGGTGACACCCTGGGGGAACCCTAGTGGGGATCCCAGGGTGACTCAGGCCCTCCTTACCTGCCAGGATTGAGGCCTTGGACCCTCTTTTTATAAGCCTAGTCCAGAGGGGGCCCCTCTGTGTCCTTTTCTGTCCTGTGGGTTCAAGGGAGCTGTGTCGGCCCCCCACCTGACCTCATGGTGCTCTGTTGCAGACTGGAGGAGTCCTCTGTAGTCTTACTTCTTTGATGTTGCTTTACCCCCAAGTCACATGGACCCCTGTTTTCCCATGGGTGGAGGCCCTCATGTCTCTTGGAGCCGGTCCTGCCCAGCTGCTGCTCTGAGGTGTGGGAGCCCATTTTGTGGGTAGCCATGCATGGCCAGTTCAGGAGCCTCTTAAGCACAGAGTCTGTGGTCTGGGCAGTGGGGCACCCCAGCACAGCTCTGGTGGGGCCTCAGGTCAGTCCATTTGGAAGCACAGGAGACCCTTGGGCACTGAGCGCCCTCTGTCTGAACCCTTGACCTCGGCCTTTGCCGTGGCTGTTTTAACTGATGCTTCTGCACGTTTTTTCTGTGTTGCCTTCAGATATACCGATACTTCCCTGGGTTTGACTGGTTCTTCCTCGACCCCATTACAAGCAGTGGAATTAAATTTGCAAATGATGAAAAGTGAGTACTATGGTACAATACCTCATTTTCCAATTTAAAAAAAATCATTGAGAACCCCCAGGACTAGTCACCTTAACCAAACAGGGTGGAATTCTGTATACTGGGGTTCTTCCCCAACCATCAGACCTTTGTAAAGGGCAAGTCAGGCTGGGAGCTGCAACCGAGAGAAAAGGGATTTGAAAAGGCCATGGTGGCATTAAAGCAACAGGAAGACAACATGTCCCTGTGTTTGTTTTATTTGTTAGTTGAAATCAGAATCAGAATTCCTGACAGGTTCTAATAAGGGGAGCTGTTACTCAAAAAATGACACTGCCTCAGCCGTTTGATTTCTGTTTGGTTGTAGAAAAACATTATAGAGTTCACTATTAAAAATATTTCTAGGGACTCCTGGTGGCTCAGTTGGTTAAGCGTCTGCCTTCAGCTCAAGCTGTGATCTCAGGATCCCAGGATCGAGCCCTTCATTGGGTTCCCTGCTCAGCGGGGAGTCTGCTTCTCCCTCTGCCTACTGCTCCCCTTGCTTGTGCTCTGGCTTTCTCTCTCTCTGACAAATAAATAAAATCTTAAAAAAATATATATTTCTACTGGGGCTCCTGGGTGGCTCAGTCAGTTGAGCAGCCAACTCTTGGTTTCTTCTCAGGGCCGTGGGATCAAGTCCCATGTTGGGCTCCATAAGGAGTCAGCTTGTGCCCCTCCCCACCTCACTTATTTGATCTCTCTAAAATAAATAAATCTTAAAAAAATAAATATCAGGGCGCCTGGGTGGCTCAGTGGGTTAAGCCGCTGCCTTCGGCTCAGGTCATGATCTCAGGGTCCTGGGATCGAGCCCCGCATCGGGCTCTCTGCTCAGCAGGGAGCCTGCTTCCCCCTCTCTCTCTGCCTGCCTCTCTGCCTGCTTGTGATCTCTCTCTGTCAAATAAATGAATAAAATCTTTAAAAAAAAAATATCAGGTTAACATTTAAAAATCTACACTCAGGAATAAATGTGAAAAAATGGAATATTTTTCCCCTTAATTATTTGTTTTGGTTCTGAAAATAGAGCAAACTAAAATTTGAACAGAAATAAGCAAAAAACCTGGTTGTTTATAAATATTGTTTTGGAACTTCAAGAATGATCTGAAAAAAATGGATTCCAACAACAAGCACCACAGTGAGTGTTGGGTTCCCTGAAGGTGCCTTGGCCATGCTCCGGGCTGACCATTGAGGAGCTGGCAGTATTTCACCCGCAGGAAATCACAAGCCCCCACTTGGGCGCATGGTGACAGCATGTGAACCAGGCCTTTTCTAGAGTGGGTCAGGGTTAGGACATACTACTTAGAATGGAAGTCCTGAAAAGATGGGCAGTGTCACTGTCAAAGTGTGACCCTTGCAGCAGAGATGCTCCTCCCTGGAAGCAGAATGCAGGGAAAGTGTGCACGTATGTGTACTGCAAGCAGAACCCCAGATCACCGGATGGGCTGGGCATCGGTGGGGCGACAAGCCTTCTGGCCCATGTCCTGCCCCGGTGCCAGGCTTGCTCAGTGAGGGGTGGCCAGGGTACTCCAGGACCTGTCTAGGCCCACAGCCCCTCTGTGGTTTGCTAGAGGGTTTGGATCATCTGAACCTCTTGAAAATGTTAATTTATTTATAAACCTTCAGGGTGACCTTAAATGTCATTTTCAATAAAGACAGGTTAGAGCATGTAGGCTTTTTTACCAACACATTTCTAGTGACCATCGTTTGCTATAGGTTTCTTGGCCCACCTCCATGGGCCAAATATAAATATCATTTTTTAACTTTTAAAGAATAGGTCTAGTGGCAAAAATAATAATTTTCAATTTCTAGAAAATACACAGGGACTGGATAAGATGAATGGATCGATCTCTAGACTTGACTGAATAGATGATGGTGGAAACACTAGTTCCCTAGTGAAAAGCCAGTCAAGTTCTATCTGTTGAGCACCATGGTGAAGCCCCCACTAAACCTGGATAGGCCCAGAGACCCCAGCCCTCTCCCTGGGACCTTGGTCCAGTTCCATCTCCCCCCGCAGTGTGAAGCACATCTCCTGCTCCCTGCTCATCCTGCATGCCGAGGACGACCCGGTCGTGCCCTTCCAGCTTGGCAGAAAGGTGAGAGTCGGTGCCAGCTCTGGTGCGGGCGGGTGTCTAGCCGGCTCCCATTCAGGCTGGGCCAGGCATCCACAGGTGTTCTGCTACTGCCAGGTGCCCCGACCCCAGAAGAAGAAGGTAGGGGAGGTCAGCAGCAGGGTCGGGTGGGGGCCAACAGTTGATGTCTTATCAGCAAAGGTACGCTAGAGGGCATGGACTTCTTCACCAGTACATTTGGTGATAGCAAGAGGAAACGTGAGAAGTAAGCAGATGGCTCCCAGTCCGTGCGCAGGGGGCCTAGCCTGACAGACTCGACTGCTGGGTACTCGGCTAGGCTGGAGGGAAGGAACCCTCGAGGAGGAGGATCCCCGGCCCCCATGCAGGGATCCCAGTCGGCAGACTTGATACAGAACCTCTTGTCTGTTCTCCTGCCTTTGGAATGGGCCCGATGTCAGGAATACCATGCTGTTGGGGGGCCTCCATGTCTGCTTTTGCTGAATTTACTCTGCCTTTGCTGCCAGGCAGCAGCATTCAATTTGTAGAAGTGTTTTGGCAACTAGCACCATCTGGCATGGCGATGGTGAGGGTCAGAGGCAACCTTGACGGAGTGAGGCCTGGGGGCCAGTGGGTTCCAGCACGGCCAAGTCTCCTCCCTCCAGCGAGCCCGGGCCCACGGGGCTGTCCGGCGACGGCTGCTCAGACCCATAGAGCCTGGCCATCTCAGGGAGGAAGGGGCTGAGGAAGGACAGATTGTGAGCCAGGCTACCAACCGGCCTTGACCCAGGCACATGGCAAAGTCCAAGGCAGACAGCCCAGCCAAGGCCCTGGGATGAGCCCTCAGGGCTGCTCCGGCACCTAGGCATCCACACGCCTGCATGCCAGGCAGCTCTTCCCGTGAGGCGGGCTCAGCTGCCTTGCCGCCCCCTGCGGAGGGGCCATCTGGGAGAGGGGCATTAGGACAAAGGGTCTCTAGTGTCAGGCCAAGGAGCTGATTCCTGTCCACACCCGTGCCCCTCGCCCTGGCCACATAGGCAGCAGGACAGTACCGTCGCTGGCGGAGGACTTGGGTTGCTTTCGGAGGCAGCAGCCACTGACTGGTTTCTCTCCTGGGGAGACCACTAGGCAGGGCTGCCATCTGTGGGTGCTGACCTGTCTCTCCCTCATCCCAGCTCTACAATATCGCCGCTCCATCCCGAAGCTTCCGAGACTTCAAAGTTCAGTTTATCCCCTTCCATTCAGACCTCGGCTACAGGCACAAGTATATCTACAAGAGCCCTGAGCTTCCACGGATACTGAGGTGAGGCATTCTCCCCCTGGGGTGTGATGGCTCAGGCCAGGTATGTGGCAGGCCCAGCCCTGAAAGCTGCCTCAGTGGGGCGGGGGGTTGCCGTGACTCGAGAACCTTCCATCTCCACCGAGAAGGGTTCAGTGTTCGTGGCCCCTCCCTCCTGAAGCGCTTCCGTGATCAGACAGGGCAGTGACTTCCCTGTGGTGTGGGTTGTGCAGGCTACATAGACACCCCACTCGGGAGCATCCAGCCGCTGTGGGTCAGGCCTCAGTTTCTTCCTACACACCCATCAGGTCCTGCCCCTGTGCACATGCGCATGGGAGACTCTGGGCCAGCTCGCAAAAGCCTGTTTGTCCTCAGCTGCTTCTTGAAAGGCAGCTGTGCTCCTGGCTCCACCATGATAGCCATGGTCTGGGGCCAGGACAGTGAGTGGCTGGGGCCATGGTGCCCATCCCTTGCCCAGGTGCCAACCACAGGCATGAAGGGCGAGATGGCGGCACAGGGTCGTTTTGACTGGGTGAGGCCTGGCCCCGCCTCAGGAGCCCAGGCTTTTGTGTGGGGACCAATCCCACCACTCAGGCCCGTGCTCCCCAGCCTCCTTACCTCCCATCCCAAGCACAGGCAGCCCAGCACCTCCTGGCCTTGTGGCCTTCTGCAGGATGCTGAGGTGGGGATGGTGCAAGTTCACCTTCCTGGGCCTGCTGAGCCTGGAAGTGTTGGAATTGGCCCTCAGTAGTTTTATGCCATCACACTTCAGCTCTCCTGTGCCTGTCTCAGCAGTTCCAGAAGCAAAGCTGCATTTCTTTTTTTTTCTTTTTTTTTTTTTTTTAAGATTTTATTTATTTATTTGACAGACAGAGATCACAAGTAGACAGAGAGACAGAGAGAGGGAAGCAGGCTCCCCGCTGAGCAGAGAGCCTGATGCGGGGCTTGATCCCAGGACCCCGAGATCATGACCTGAGCCGAAGGCAGAGGCTTAACCTGCTGAGCCACCCAGGCGCCCCCAAAGCTGCATTTCTTTAGTGGTTTGCCATTTCCTGCATCAGGGACCTGGGTTGCTGAGAGGGGACTGTGAACTCAAAGAGTATGGGTTTGCTCTAGGGTTGTGATTTTTCCAGCGTAAAAGGAATAGGTTATAGGAAATTTAGCCCAGGGTACAGCTCTAGAGTTTAGAACAAAGAAGAGTAGCCCATTACCTGGTCTTTCTTCCTACAGGGTTGGGATTTGACCAGGCCGATTCCATTGGAGCCCTATTTATTTAACTCAGGCTTTCTGAGCAGGGGTGGTCCTCCAGGCTCCTTCTCAGACTCCTGGGATGAGTTGTTTGAGGACGGAGGAGGAAAGGGCTCTGGTGTGGGCTCTGGGTTTGGCTGATGGCTGTCCTTGTGTCGTCTAGGGAATTCCTGGGGAAGTCAGAACCTGGGCGCCAACACTGAGTCTTGCTGCCTGAAGGAGCATGAAGACCTCTGCCCTCCTCCCCTTTGCTCCAGCCAGTCTGGCACCCTGGGGCCCAGGGGTGCCAGCATCTTCAATACCCCTGGAGAGAGGACTTGGATGCCAGCTGGGGCAGGCGGAGGAGACCCAGCAGACCTGAGGCACCTGTCTTGGGTGGCTGGGAGCATGGATCTTTGTGGAAAACACAGGTTGCGGGCATGGGATCCCCTCTCCCTCTTGTTGCCACTCAACCCGAGCTCTCATTGGGAAGACAGTTACAGAGCAGGCCAGCCGCCAGCTGGTCTATCCCGCACTTGCTGAGCTGGGCACAGGGAGCCTGGGGCAGGAGGCTTGGGGTCTTGGGACCACACTGATCTTTCCAGCATCACTGGTAAGATCGTGGGGAGATGGGTTCTGTCCCTTCCCAGCCCACGCAGAATGGATTCTAATGGTCCAATCAGCACGCCCCCCACCAACCCAGGGCACCCTGCTTGCCTACCTTGGCGGTCCCTGCCTCCCTGGGCAGGTCCCACTGCTCACAGCGGGGAAGGTGCCCGTGACCTGCACTTCCTCCACTTTCTGCCCACCTTTCCGCCTAACCTGGCCTTAGACTGAGCATTTATTTAAGAATAAAATCGTGGTGGTGGTCTATCTGCTGTGTTCTCAGTGACCCCTCCAGCTATTTTCAGGTCATGCTCAGAGCCCAGCCTGTGGGAGGAGGGGCAGCTCTGTAAGGCCAGGGATCCTGGGCCTTCCTTTCCTCCTTTTAGATGTGGAGGCCCGTGCAAGGAGGGGCATTGTCCCAGGGCAAGGTATGTTCATGGGGGAGGACCCCTTCTCCAGAGGGGACAGGGGGCGTTTTCCTAAAATACAGGCCCCTTTCAACTTCACACTGTAGCAAGCTTACTGGATGTTGGTATTGGTTGGCAGGCTCCAGGGTTTCACCCACAGACGCCAAGCGAGCCCTGGCATGAGTCCGTGGAAGGACGTGGGGCACTGGAGTAGGAGGTTTCCAGTTCTGGTCCATGAGCACCGCCTTGTTCACTTACTTGGGGAAAGGGAGTGTTGTTCAGCTTTTTGTCAAATCAGTCTCCCTGGACTTCTGCTGCCCCCACTTGGCACCCTCTGAGGATCCTGTTTCTCAACAGCCCCGGTGCTGGTGAAGGGCCAGATTTTCACATCCCGGCTAAGTAACCAGAGAGTGAGAAGTGTGTGGTTTAGTCAGAGGCTTTCAGGCTGGCCCCACAGAGGACTATCCTACCCCTGCGGCTCAGGTATAGAGGCGTGATACACAACAGAGGATGAAAGCCCACCTGGGACCCACTTCCCCTGATGGTTGGACTCTCCCCACCAGGGTCCTAAGGCTCTGGGACTTTGCGGTCTTGGCAGATCAGAAATTCCCCTGGGGTTACAGGGAGCCTAGTTCACCAGCCTGTTCTTTAAGGTCTGTGGCCACTCTTGGCAGCTGTGGGCAGGCTGTGGGGCCAAGGTGCCAAGGCAGGCGACAGCTTCTCTTTTCTGAGGTACCTTCAAGCTGCCTACAGTGATTCTCACATTGGGGAAACCATGCCTTTCCTAAAGGGGTTGAAGCATGAACAGACTCTCCTGAGTTCAGTTTATGTCTTCCTTCCTTTGGACGGGTTCCCCTGGCATCAGATTTGGGTGTGTGCACTACCTGCAAGACCCCACCCCATCCCTGGGGTGAGACATAAGCCCCTTCCTATAGCATGTTCCTATGTAACTGCTCGCATGATGTGCCCCCTGGGCCCGAGTAGCCCCCTGAGGCTTGCTCTTTCAGCCCCGTGACTGAGGCCCCAAGTCAGAGCTGCCCTCCCACCCCACTTCAGCCAGATGCAACCCACCCACCCTGTCTGGGCTGGAAGCTTCCTCCTGTTCTGTGTTGTGTGTGTGTGAGAGCCGTGTGAGAGGATATGAAGTAAAATATAGGCTGTTGGTATTTTGATAGGTGCTCTAGAAAGCACTGATAGGGATGGTGAGCTGCTGGGCCATCCGATTGGCTAATCAAGTCCAAAGTTCACCTGCTGGTCTCAGATTAGTAACTAAACTGTGGGCTAGGACAGATGTAATCTCTGCTGATCACAAAACCAATCCTTGAATTAAAAAAAAAAAAAAAAAAAGGAACAGATCAAGACATGCACAGCTATAAATTCTGCAGTTAATACATGTTTCCTGAAAGCACGTGTGTCCTGGGAGCTGCTCAGCGCCCCCAGGCCGCTCCAGCAGGCCTACGGTGCTCCAGTGTCCTGCAGTTCTCAGGTTGTTTGGCTAACAGCCTCAAGTTCATGTCTCTCCTGGCTTTTAATTCAGCCTACAGTGACACAGTTTAGGGGGAAATGCTCTCATCCCTAGGGCATTCCATGTCCTAGGGCCAAGAGTGGCTGGTGGAGGGCAGGTGCAAAAGAACCAGTGCAATTTGCACCAATGATGCCAACATCCAGATGACAGTTTATACAACAGATTGGATGATTCTTTTACCAGCTTGTGGTTCAAACACACATACTCTTAAGTCCCACCTGCAGCTGGGATGGGAGAGCTTGGTCTGTCCTTAATCCCAGAGTGATGGGCCCTTACGAGGGAGGGTCTGAGGCCTGCCCCTGTGATGCAGCCCCCACCCTGCCCTCAGCGCAGAATGAAACACAGGCCAGGTCAACGAGGCACAGGCAGGAAGGTTTATTCAGTTTCTCACACAAGGCAGTGACATCAAGTGGCACAGTGATGGTCACACATGGCCTAAGAAATGGGGCATCGGGAAGGTGGCGGGGGTGTGACCACAGCCCCAGAACGTGGGCCTCCCCAGCAGACCACTGCAGCTCTGGTGAAGGGCACATGTGAGCAAATCCTCCATGGCCTGGTTCTGTGAGCAGTCAGGACCTGGGGTGAGGGCAGAGCCCTGTGCCATCCAGACCCAGCATGCAAGGATGCAGAGCCTCTGGAAGGGTGCTTCCCCTCCTTGTCCCATTAAGCCTGTGGTGAAGCGTGCCGGCCTTCTCCCTGGCTCTCTCCCCTGGGCAGCTGAGGGGGCTCACCCACCCTTCCTGCCACCAGCCTGTTGTCCAGGCAGAAGGAAAGTGGGCTCCCTTCTGGGCCTGCTCAGTCCTTTCCAAGGTGGTCACACTGCTGGAAATGGAGGGAGAAGGGAGGGTGGCCCCAAGTGTAAGACAGGAAGGCAGGCCCCAGGACACATGCGGCAGGGGCATTTGGCCTCCCCAGCAAAGGCAGCGCCCCACCCCAGGGCCCCCAGGTCTGGACAACACATTCCAGCATTGCCTCTCCACAAAACTTCAAAAGTATAATTTTAGTTGCTAAAACAAGAAAAGGCTTCAGCTACTTTAATTTCCCTGGGAAGCTGATTATCCTCTCAAGAAAGCAAAACCAAGGTAGCTTTGCGTCAGCCAGCCTTGTCCTAGCCAAGGACCCCAAGATGCCAGACACAGATGTCCTCCCCCATGACCCCCTCAGCCATCCTAGAGCCCCTTTATCTGATCAGTCTGGAACTTTGGGCCACAGCGCCCATGCTGCAGCTGCAGACATGGCCAAAGTACTAGCATGGCCAGGAGGCTGTGAGCCTACGCCAGCGAGCCAGCACTTGTGGTACAGAAAACACACAGTTCCCCAGGCTTCGCCAAAGCTACCTGCCTGGACCCCGGAATCCAGAGGCTCAAAACTAAAAATAAGCTCACTGCAAGGTGCGTGCAAGGTCTGAGAGGAGCCCACCCGGTGGCTCTACCCTCCCCACCTCCTTGTGTCAGGTGAGCTAAAGCTGCGGGGCCAGCTGCCCCAGTCAGTGCCGCAAGCTCTGCTTTCTTGCAGGAAACTGGGAGTACCTCTCTCTTTGCACCCTTTCTTCCTTGCCCACCCCAAGCCACCACCACTACAATTCCTATGGGCCTCCAGAAACAGCAGGCCATTGCTAGGACACCTAATCCCTAGGGAGGTTGGGGGGCGGGATCTGTAGGTCGGAGGGCTCCACGCCCCAGATGTCCCGGGCATACTCTGTGATGGTCCGGTCACTGGAGAACTTGCCCGAGCAGGCGATGTTCCTGATGACCTTCTTGGTCCACTCCCTGGGGTTCTGCAGAGGGAAGAAGAGGCTGAGTAATCTCAGGTACCACACAAGACAGCCTGCACTTCCAGAACTTCAGGACTGCTTCTAGATGGGCTCTCAGCCCCTGTTCATCAGCATGATGAACAAAGATGAAATTGCAATCAACAGCTCACTGAAATGGGGATCCTCACCAATCAGAAAAGCGATCAAATGACTAGATTTGGAGGTAAGGAGCCTGAGAAGGCCCTGGGCCTCAAAACGTGCCACGTATTCTGGGGCACAGCCCACCTGACAAAGAACCACCACCAGGTGAGTACCCGCCCAGTGCATCCACAGAAAAAGGCTAAGTGGTCTCCCCTCCACGGCTTCCCCCAGAGCCCGACAACCATCCCTGGACTGAGCCAGCATCATGGGGAGCCTCCCCGAAAGGGAATACTCTGCTGACGCCCACGTCTGGGAAGCAAAGGTGCCCCCCGAGAGCCCTGCCTCGTAACTTAGCTTTCGAGGCCCCCCGTTCTTTAATGGGTCCCCAAGGGCAGACAGCTTCCCTAAAGGTGGGAGATAGGGGCCAGGACCACAGCACATCAGAAACATCCTGGAGGCCTCATCCAAGAACCAGGGGAAGAATCCATCTGACCCACCACTGCAAACTCACACCACAACACCCAGAGTCCTCTCCCCCTGCCACCACTGGTGGGGCACACAGGCTGGGTGTCCAGAAAACCCCAGCAAGGGAAGGGAAGTGGGCACCAAGGGATACCCTCCGTCAGCCCTGCAAGCTCTGGTCCTCTGTCTTCCTATGAGTCCCCATGTGGATACACCCACTCCCTAGGGGACATGCTCCACACAGAAACTGGGATGAGGGGTCCCTTTTTGTCCACCTTCGCCAAGATCTGGGGAGCTGGCTATAGCGGTCCAGCCCTAGAAAGGCCACTCTTTACAGCAATGGCCCTCACTCAACATGGAAGCTTGCACCTGTTCAAGGAAGCACTCATTTTTAAACACAGGCTTTCTATGTGCACACACGTCTTCCTGGCTCTGCACCTGCTCCCCACATTCTCCCAATCACACCCACTGGGGGCTCAGACCACAGTGCCCATCGCCTCTGCCATCCACAGAAACTCCTGTCCTGCTCACGTGTGTTCTGTGGCAGCCACTCAGAACCTGGGCAGAAACGTGCCAGTGTGGACAGTGGCCTGGCCCCAAGGGGTCCCAAGGCACCAGCCTCACCAGGGGACAGCAGAGGGACAACGGAGACCATGTGAGTGGAAGCTGATCAAGAACCCCTGGACAGCCCATGTCCATGATGCAGCTCAGCCCGCTGAGCGCCCAGCCCCCCTTGTCCAGGCCACAAGGTGAACAGTGGCCTCCCAGGACTGGACCTTACAGATGTCCCCCG